TGGTTGGTCCGGTCAGGAATATGTTTTGCTCATGACAGGAGATTCGAGAGTCCACATCGGTGGCTGGTTGAAAATCGTCCGCGTGGCACATAAATCCCTTTGCCGGTCAGGGAAGAAAATGACACCGACACCTCAGCGGCTACGCAAGACAAACCACACCGACTTTTTTTTAGAGATTCCGTTGACAAAGGCGGGAGTCGCGGGATTTCGCTGGTGAACGTTAGACCCCGTGACCTAGGAACCGTCGATTGTCGCCTGATCTGGAGTCGCAGAGTCGTCGTGTCAGTTTGGAACGCGGCAAGCCCAATGGTTTGAATTCGAAGCTCTCGTTCTTACCACTAAGAGCGAAGTGAATCTCAGCCGTGGATATAGAATCTAGGCAAGCAGCTGCGGTTGAGATCTGAAGGTTGAGCTGATCCACTCTCAGACTCTAGTCTGTGGATGGCAAAGGACTTGGCAAAATGGGCGAAGATGGCGAAATCTCCCATTCTCGCACCGGTGCTGTTACTCGGCGTTGATTGGTCAAGGAAATTATCTTCTGACACCCGCTGGCTCCTCTGATCCGAGAAGAAATGTGCTGATCTCATTACCGAAACTGGTTCACCAACCAAGTTTATACGTATAACTTCTGGAAACACTTCTTGCCATCTCAAATCATTTGGGTTGCAATTTCATGTCACCATCATTGCAACGTCGCACATATATCACGAGCATACCATCATTCAAATGTATACAACCTCAATCCTTGTTTCTCAATTTTGGTTAAGCGGCAAAGCGTTCCTACGAAACACCATATTTGGGTGGTTTTTATTGAAGTGCTTAAGGATACAACTGTTTCAGAGTGCAGTAGTATGGTCACACTCATGAAAAATGAACATAAATGTTTCAGCAGAATCCTTGATGAAATCGGATGATCAGCCCAGTACTCCCCCAGAATCCTAGGCACATGTACAATCTGCTGGTGAGGGTATGAAAAATACAGGTACGTACAAAGTGATCATGTACACGCACGCACGTTCATAGATGAATGACCACTGCACACAAACCTGAATGCATAGGTGCAAATATGCATGCACACCCATTCTCACTGCACTCTCACCACTCACCCATGCACTCTCAACCTTTACACTCCCACCATTCACTCCCTTCACCACCACTCACCAGCAGATCCGAATCTTCACCACTCTTCACCACTCTTCACCACTGATTCCCTCCACTCACTCTGACGATGCATTCTCACTACTCACTCCACCTCGCCACCTCAGCACTCCCACCCCTCCACTACTCACGATTCTCACCCTTCACTGAAAATCACCTTTCCCTCACCACCCACTCTTACTGCATTCTCACAACTCACAGAAAATCACCTTTCTCTCACCACCCACTCTTACTGAAATCTCACCACTCACTCAATCTAACCACCTCACCATACCCATCCACAACTCTTTGCCACTCAACCTCACCACGCTCTCACCACTCAAAACTCACCACTCATCCTCACCACCCTCTGTGCTCTCACTCTCACCACAGATTCACATATTAAATCTGGGCCTTTCAATAGTGTCCTTTAAAAAAACGGACACTATTGAACCATGTACACTCGCACACGTGCAAATTCATGCATACTGCACGCATACACACATGTATGCACAAGTGCAAACACGCATGCTTGGTGCAATCATGCATGCATACGGCTGCCATTATGACATCTCAGTATTATGCACACTGTTGCACCAATTGCCACTCTAACCACCCACTCTCGCTCAATCCCACCACTCACTAAACATCACCACTCTCACCAACCACTCTCACTGCACTCTCACCACTCAGTATCACCACACTCTTACCATTCTGACCACTCAATCTCACCACACTCTCACCCCTCCAACCTCACCACTAAAACCACTCACCCTCACCACCCTCTCTGCTCTCACTCTCACCTCCCATCCTCACAAATATCCCCCACCACTCACTCACTCTCACTGCTGTCTTTTCTAACTCTCACCACTCATGCTCTCATGCAACAGGTGGCATCAGTGCCATACGGCTCATCATGTGCCACCCAAGGGGACTCAGCCCCTTTCACTTGCTCTCACCCACCCAAGGGGACTCAGCCCTTTTCACCAACTCATGAGCATCACGCTTCCATGCACGGGTGGCATCAGTGCAAATGATTATGTGCCCCCAACCAGCCAAGCATGAGCATCAAGCTTCCATGCACGGGTGGCATCAGTGCAACTCATCATGCGCCCCCAACCAGCCAAGCATGAGCATCATGCTTCCATGCAAGGGTGGCATCAGTGCAACTCATCATGCGCCCCCAACCAGCCAAGCATGAGCATCATGCTTCCATGCAAGGGTGGCATCAGTGCAACTCATCATGCGCCCCCAACCAGCCAAGCATGAGCATCATGCTTCCATGCACGGGTGGCATCAGTGCAACTCGTCATGCGCCCCCAACCAGCCAAGCATGAGCATCATGCTTCCATGCTTAAGGGTGGCATCAGTGCAACTCATCAGGTGCCCCCAACCAGCCAAGCATGAGCATCATGCTTCCATGCAAGGGTGGCATCAGCGCAACTCATCATGTGCCCCCAACCAGCCAAGCATGAGCATCATGCTTCCATGCTTAAGGGTGGCATCAGCGCAACTCATCATGTGCCCCCAACCAGCCAAGCATGAGAATCATGCTTCCATGCTTAAGGGTGGCATCAGTGCCATATGGCTCATCATATGCCACCGCCAACCCCACTGCCTCTCACCACCATCACCCAATCACCACCATCACCACACAGCCCACCCATCCCCTCCCCACCTTACCTGCCAGCAGTAGGAGCAGCAAACAGCCCACTCCCCTTCGGAAACAACACCCCCAGGGGCTGTGCCTTGAGGTGAGAGGTGTGGTAGTGAAAAATTGCTTCCAGCGCAAGACTCAAATCCCACCCCTGACGTAGCTAGAGCTGACGCGAACCAGAGTCGCCGGCCGGTCGACTCTGACGGTGCCCATTAAGCCTTAACGTCAGGTTAGTTACTTGAGCACCGAGAGCCGTGCCGCGCAGATTCCACCCACCACACCCCGACCCACAAGACACAACCGCAGAGAGTGCTGCCCCTAAGGAAGTGAACTGCCCACTTGCTCCCACGCTTTCCCCCCCCCCTCCTCTCATGCCCCTTCACCCCATGCCTGCTTACCTCTACGTAGCTTGTGTAGCGCCATGATGCCTCAGCCGTGTTGGAAAGTGGGAAGGGGGGAGGGAGAGGGGAAGGGGGGGAGGATGAACAGAGAGTTGCCTCAGTGCCGCCCTTGCTCCAGTGCTCCCTCACTTCCTCTGGCCGCAACAAGGGGTGAAAAAGGGGAGGGGGGGGGAATGAGAGGAGAGATGCCACTGTCCCGCCCATGCTCGAGTGCTCCCTCCTCTCAGGCTGCAAGGGGTGGGGGGAGAGAAGAGAGGAGCGGATCAGATCTGCATACCTCACCTGTTACCTCACCTGATACCATACCACACCTCGCTCACGACTCGACCTAGCCTAGCCTGCCCTCTAGCCCTCCACCCCCCACTGCTACTGCTGCTGCTGCTGCTGCAACTGCTGCTGCCGGTCTGCTACTCAGCTTCTCTGCTACAGTCTTCACTCGATGCCAAGTGACCTGGTAGGGGGGGAAGAAGGGGGGAAAGTGACAGTGAGTTAGTTGGCATGACCAAAAAAAATAAACTGAAGTTGACAGAAACGAGACAGCAGAACTGAAGAGGAGAAACAGAGAGGAATGAGGGCAGAGAGGGGAGGTGACGTACCTTGAGAGGCCAAGCCCACCCCGATACTCTCCATTGTGGCAGCCAGTGGCAGTGCTTCATCTTCACTCGATGCCAAGTGACCTGGTAGGGGGGGAAGAAAAAGAGGGGAGTAAAGAGAAAGTGAGCTGGCATGACCAGAAGTTGATGAAAAACGAGAACACGGAAATGAAAAGCTAAAAGGGAGAGGGATGAGGGCAGAGAGGAGAGGCGGACGTACCTTGAGAGGCCAAGCCCACCCCGATACTCTCCCTTGTGGCAGCGACTGGCAGTGCTGCCTCCCTCCCATCCCCACGGGTACCTGCACGGCCACAGGGGAGGAGCGTGGGGAAGCGTCGGTGTTGACCCCCGCCCCTCCCCTCCACCTGCAAGGCACACACGCAGAGCTGGTCAGTGGACAGCGAGGGGATGAATGGTGAAGGTGCAAGAGAGGGAACGGCATTTGCAAGGCGGGAGAGGGGAGGGGCCACTGGTGGAGGCCAAGTCACAAACTGCAGACCCAAGGGCTGCACCTGAGGGGGTACCTGCACACCTGCACCTGAGGGGGTACCTGCACCTGAGAGGGTTACCGGAAGTAAGGGGGTCTGCAGCATGTGAGGCGGGCCCAACCAGTGGCGCTGTTTCAAGAGGAAGGTGCGAAAGCACATGCAAACACGAGATGCAAGCAACGTACACAAGACATGGCGAGGCAGGCAAGGGGTTGAGGGAACTTAGCTGTAAGGCGTGAGAGCGAGCAGAGGGCAGCTGCAGCAGCACCAGGTGACTCCTTCCCCGGCAGCCCTCCTCCCAGCCTTCCCGTGTGCGTCCCTCCCTGCACGGCCACCGGGGAGAGGCGTGAGGGAATGGCGGTGCTGACCCCACACCCCTCCCCCCCACCTGCAAGGCACACACGCAGAGCTGGTGAGTAGGCAGTGAGGGCACGTAGGGTGAAATTGCAAGAGCATAGCATGCAAGACAAATGAAAGGAGAGGGGCCACTGGTTGAGGCACAAGCACAAGGCACAGACCCCCAAGGGGACCTGAGGGCTTGTAGGGCTGTAGGGGGGCTGAACCTGAACCTGAACCTGAACTTGAGGGGTTTACCTGGAATAAGAAAGGGAGGTCTGTGGCATGCAATTCATGCCCCAACCAGCGGCGAGATTTGACAGCAGGAAAAAATGAATGAAACAGAATTGAAGGGGAATTGGAGGTAAGCATCAAGGAGGCGAGTCACTTAGCTGAAAGTTGGAGGCGTGGTGGTGCACGCGGAGGGGGTGCGTTGATGCAGAGTGGGCGTAAGGCTTGAAGGGAAGGACCTGCGAGGCAGAGAAGGGAGAGAGAGAGAGTGAGTACATGACAGGCGGGAGGGAGCGGCCCTTGCAAGTGAGAAGAGCGCGTGACACGGTGACAGCAGTGCGAGTGCAGAAACGACGGTGCATGTGATGCCGCCCACAGCCACACAAGAGCCCCTACCAACCTGCACCTGCACCTGCGCCTGCACCTGAACCTGCACCTGAACCTGCACCTGAACCTGCACCTGAACCTGCACCTGAACCGGGGGGGAGTGGGGCCCTTGTGGAGTGTGGTGGCAGGGGCGATACTTACAACCTCAACCGTTGATGAGGCCGGCGCTGCTGCCCTGCTGCCCGCCCTTGGCGCTCCCATCGCCTCCTCTCGCCTGCTGCCCTCCCCTCGCTTGCTGCTCGCCTTGCGCTGGCCTGGCAGGAAGAGCGGTGAGGGCGGGTAGGACGGGGAGGGAGGAGAAGGAGCGGGGGAATGAGCTGAAGTTCAGGAACAGGAGGTGGGTGGGAGTGAGGAGTGAGCGTTGATATTGGTAATGCGTGCGTGATGTGGGCATGAGCATGAGCATGAGCATGAGCATGAGCATGAGTGCACAGCCAGGGCGATCACACTGCAGACCTCAGACGGACGGACGGACGGACGGACGGACGGACGGACGCAGGCAGACGGACGGACAGCTGAGCAGGACGCCTAAGCAAGAGCAGACGCCTAGCAGATGCTAACCCAGAGCTAGGGGAAGAGACAGGGAGGTCTGCAGGTTCGCCTTGGGCTGGCATTGAGTGGCGTGGCGTGTGCGGTGAGCAACGGAGAGAGCAAGGGAGGCGAGGCGAGGGTACTTATCTGTGCGCAGGGGGGGAGGCAGCTCCATGGCGAGTGGAATGGCGAATGGGGTGGGACGTCCAGCGGTGGTGCTTGCGATGCGAGTGAACGCCACGTGCTCTCTTCTGCCTCGCTGCCTTGCTCACGTGCCACCCACTGCTGCCTTCCAGCCGCCTGCTGCTTCCTGCGCAGAAGCACAGAGAGTATTCAGAAGCAGGCTCCATGGAAGAATGCGATAGCTTCGACAACGTTTAAAGGACGCATCATGGTCGAAACGCGTGCGATTGCGGAGAAATGAACTGATCTAACAAAAGGGTTGACGGCTTACCGCGGAATGGCGATGGAGGGAGCAGGCGAAGGGGGTGATTGCTGCATGGTGGTGGGTGGGCGGAAGGACGACGCGTCGGAAGGATGGCGAGTGCGATTTGAATGATGACCACGATTCTCGAGAATTGCTTCATGCTTGACCTGTAACGGGAAACGGAAAACCGAGATCAGTAATGTCAATCGCTGATCAGTAATTAATGCCTACCGCATATTTGCGACAATCAGGACGCACAACATACAAAACGATAAGGAAAATCGGCTTCCGCGAGAAGAAATCGAGAAAAACGTACAGATCAGGTTAAAGTCGCGACGCGACGTGGAGGCGACGAATGGACAACGACGTCATGCGACGTCGGCGATCGATTAAATGTGCAGCCTTGCGCGGAAATTCAGCAGCAGGCGGCGTCGAATGACGGAAAATCGTCAACACGCCCGCGATCGATGGATTGAATCGGCTTCCGACGATGTTGTGAAGATCGATGGAATTGCAGCTGAAATGGCTTCGGCGATGGCCAGTTTCGTCTGACGAGAGTACAGTACAGGAGCCGACGACGTGCACAACTGAACCGAACGGGAGTCGTAGACTAGCCAAACTGAATGAGCCGCGTAAACTAGCCGAGTTGAACGAGAACGGGCAAAAGCTAGGAGCGAAAAGGAGGAGGAGGTGCGAAATGCGGAGGGAGAGGTGGAGGCAGCAGTTTGGGTGGGAGCGTGGCAAGGCGCAAGCGAGAGTTGCGTTCGCATGCCCAAGTTGGGCCCCTTCGGGGGTGCGTAGAAAGCCGTTGCGACGACTATTTTCGAGCGCGAAAATGCGAAAAATCGAATGCGATCGTCCGAGTCGGGAGCGCCTAAGCCACATGGCTGGTCGAAATCAACCCAGGGGGCCGAAGTGAGTGACGTGGGTTGCCTATCGACCGTAAACACTGCCAACTAAGCTCAGATATTCCTTGGGGGGTCACTAAGCCGTCGTGAGGGTCGAAAGAGCGCGAAAGAAGGTGGCTCGAAGGGGTAATTTTCGCGGCGGGCCGAAGCGCAGCGGATATTAGTGGCGAAAGTAGGATGAGAAGGAATGGCTTGCTGGCTAGTGGTGGCAGATCTGGCGGGAGGGAGGTGCGGTGCGGTGTCAGTGTCGCTGGGTGGTGCTCTAGCGGATGCGCATTGCAGCGGATTCAGTTCGGTACCTCGGGGTACACCACAGGCGATACTGTGAGAAAACTATTACATTATTCTTTTGTTTGTTTCATCCTTGAAACCTACTTACATTTCTTGTGAGACTTACATACAGACATGCATGCTGCAATATTACTGGAGATTTTAAAACAAAAATGCGATTTTATTGTTTCAATTATTGTCTTTGGTGAAAATAGAGCATGAAGAAGAGCACTTGAATGATAAAATATTGGTACAATATTGGTACAATATTGGTACCTTTTGTTCAATGCCTGGGACAAATTATAAATTCCTTGAAACGGGGACAGCAGCAGTTTTACGTGTTCGCGACGACTCGGTCCAGGATTCAGGGTATGACGCGTACCCAACCTAGCCTGATCTTCAAGCAACCATGCCCTGGGAAATCTGTCCAGTCCAATCCGCGTTTCGGCTGGTCAACGCGGACCAAGGGGGAGCGAGTCAAGCCGAGCCAAGCCTTCCAGAGCACGCACACACAACGCAAGGCAAACTCGGCTTTCAATTCGCCCCCCAGTGCCACTCCCACCTCCCATGTCTTCCACTCCGTGTGCAAAACGAATGTACAAGTTCATAGCATTCCCAGAGTAGAAATTCACGGCATTACTTTCGACATCTCACCGATTATTCACGGCATTGCTCGACTCACACACAGAAGCTACAGCCACTTTCTCTTATTTTTTTTCAGTCCCACGAAAATCAGCCATGGGGGCTGAGGCCGACACCTTTCTTCCAGGCGCACTTCCAGTAGACACGAGCCACGTGCTACAGTGCCCTGCGTCGGCCCTTCCTTTTCTTCAGGAGCTCCGTTCGCGTCATCCAGTCAACGAAAATGACCCTTTCAAGAAACTGCCAGAGGTTCAGACTCCGTCCTCTGAGCACGCCACGCGTTCCACGGTCGCGGACGTGAAGATGGAGTGTGTCGCAAGCGAGCCGGAGCGGGGTCTCACCGAGAACCTCGCGGATACATACGTGTCATCGGGGAGCGCGTGCGTGGATTTCCTCTTCCACGTGCTGCCGCTGACCGAGCGCGACGATGCGCAGCGGCGGCTCGCGGCTGCGTGGGCGGAGGATCCAGCCACGGCGCTGCGACTGGTGATGCAGCTGCGCGCGGTTCGCGGCACGGGAAAAAGCGACCGCTCCAGCTTCTTCCACTGTGTCACGTGGCTTTACCAAGACCACCCGCGGACGCTCGTGCAAAATCTGTGGCTGGTTCCGGAATTTGGGTGCTTCAAAGATCTTCTGGAGACCGTGCGGCTCGCTTTGGCGGTGGAAGGCGCAGACCGCATGGAGTACGGTGCGGTGGCTTGGAATGGCGCGAATAAGGGAAATAAGATGATGAAGAAGCGCGACTGGAACGGGAGCAGAAAGCAGAAGAGACGGGAGAAGCGGGTGGATGACGTCGTGGAGGACGAAACGGTGGCTTGGAATGGCAAGAAAAAGGGAAAGAAGTTGATGAAGAAGCGCGGCGGGAACGGGAGCAGGGGCGGCAAAGGAGGCGGGGAAAAGCAGAAGAGTCGGAAGAAGCGGGTGGCGGAGAACAGGCGGCAGATGGCGGAGGAGAGCGAGCGCGCGGCGGTGGTGCGCAAGGAAGCGCTCGCGCGGAGGGCGGCGGCGGTGGTGCACGCGTACGAGACGAGCGAGCGGCTGCGCGCCGTGCACAACGCGGTGGCGGCGATCTTCGCGGCTGCGCTGAAGGCGGACCTGGAGACTATGCGCGCGTTCGAAGAGGGGCGCGCGCGGAAGACCGGGGAGGGGGTGAAGGAAGAGAGCGGTGGCAAGGGCAAGAAGAAGCGCAAGTGGATGGGGATGCCAGCACCGAAGCTCTCTCTGGCAGCCAAGTGGGCGCCCTCCCCTGGCAAGTCGTTCGATCACTGCACTCTCCTCACCTCCTCCATCGCCCTCCACCTCTTCCCCCCCTCCTCCTCTTCCCCCTCTTCCGCTGCTGCTGCTTCTGCTGCTGCTGCTGCTGCTACTGAATCTGAAATGGATGTGGACGGTGGAGCAGCAGCAGGGGGGGGGGGAGGGTACGTGCGAGTGGCGAAGGAGAGGCTGCAGAGGGAGGTGCTGGCGCCGCTGCGGAGAGCGCTGGAGGTGCCCGAGGTGCACATGAGCAGCGGGCGGTGGGAGCACGTGGCGTACGGGCGCGTGCCGTCCGTGTGCATGAAGAACACCCGCAAGCGCTTCCTCTCCCACGATGAGGCGCGCTTTAAGAAGTACCTCGAGGATGTGAAGGGCGGGGAGGCAAAGATCGCTTCGGGAGCGCTGCTGCCGCATGAAGTGGTGAGAACGGCCATGGCAGCAGCGGGGGATAGAGTTGATACAGTGGGAGAGCTGCAGTGGAAGGCCATGGTGGCTGATGTGCGCAGCAAGGGGTCGCTCGGGAACAGCATGGCGGTGTGCGATGTGTCGGGGAGCATGGAGGGCACGCCCATGGAGGTGGCCATTGCACTGTCGCTGCTCGTGAGCGAGGTGAGCAGCGAGCCGTGGAAGAACCACCTCATTACCTTCTCCGCGCAGCCGAGGATCCACCACGTGCAGGGAGAGACCCTGGTGGAGCGCGTGAGAAGCACAGAGGGCATGCCCGCGGGCTACAACACCAATTTCCAGGCGGTGTTTGACCTGCTGCTGTCCCGCGCGCAGCAGTTCGAACTAGACCCGGCAGACATGGTGCAGCGCCTCTACGTGTTCTCCGACATGCAGTTTGACGAAGCACGCTCGGGCGGTGGGTGTGGGCGTTACGGAGGCAAAATGAGCGGCTGGGAGACGGACCACCAAGCGATTGTGCGCAAGTACACTGCGGCGGGTTATCCTGTGCCGCAGATAGTGTACTGGAACTTGAGGGGGGATGCGTCTGCGAGCAGCACGCCGGTGGCTGCGAGTGAGGATGGGGTGGCGCTGGTGTCGGGGTTCAGCAAGGGCATGCTGCTGGCTGTGTTGGAGGGCAAGGAGCTTTCTCCCATGATAGTGCTGGAGGAGGCTATTAAGGGAAAGCTCTTTGAGCTTGTTCAGGTTGTGGATTGATCAGCTCGTGTTTTGTTTGCTTGTTGCTGTTCGACTAGGTACCACAGTAGCACAATGTAGGGGTACCTTGTACTGTATTTTACGATTTCAAATGCTTATCAAACTTCCGCCCATGGCAAGAGTATACTGTCAAGTCACAAGATCAGAAGCCACAAGATCTGGCAAAGTCACACAGCACAATCAAGCCCACTTGCCCCTTCTGTTTCTGTCCCTATCCCACCTGCTGTTCTGCTGCTGCGGCTGCCTCTGCTGCCGGTAATCCTGCCTCTCACCCCGTCCTCCTCCCTCCCTTTGTCCATCTCCATACCTCCGCCCAGCCTCCTGCCCTTGCCACTCTCCCGCTCCCACTCCCTGTCCCTGCCCCTGCCAAACCCCCATGGCCCCATATCCCCCTTGCTCCTGCCAACCACTTGAGCCCTGTGGAACTGAACCAGGGGGAGCAGGCAATGCCCCACCAGGACCTGCTAACCCTGCTGGCCCTCCCGCATACCCTCCCTGCAAATAGCCATACCCATAGCCCTGACCAAGAGAGAAGTGCACGCCGGGGGGCCTGGGTTGAAATGGGGTAAACGGGAAGGTTGGGGTGCCGGGAAGTGAAGGCGGCTGGGGGTGGAATGGGTGGGGCGGGCCTAGGGGTTGCTGCGATGGGACCTGCTGTGGTTGGTGTGGGGGTTGCGGCATGGGTGTATGAGAGAGGAATGGCGGGGGTGAGGTGTTAGGAGCGGCAGCATATGGTGGTGGAAGGTTCTGCTGCTGATTCGTATACTGCTGCTGCGGTGGCTGCTGCTGATTAGAATACTGCTGCTGCTGCGAATGCTGATTAACGTACCGTCAGAAACTTGATTGGAAATTCCAGCAAATGGTAGCCAAAGGATAAAACGCATTACCGTTTGCGGGGGAGTGCGTCGTGGTACTGCGGAGTTTCGTTGTTTCGGCGAAGATGCTGCATTGAGGTTGGAAGTTGGCCAGCTACTGCAGACAATCATAACGGACTGACGATGTTCCATTGCCTGCAAGAGAACAAATCACATGTAAAAAACTTGCAAAAAAACGACGAGAAAGAGGTCGGAACGTAAGCTAAATGAAGGTAGAATAAAATAAAAGAATTACCAGTGCTGCTCGGAACACATTGCAGCTGCACGAAACCAGCAGCGATCCCACGAACTGATCCTCCTGATGCGTGTAAGGCTGATCGCTTGTCGCGTGTGTGAAGGAGCTGGGACAGTTGCCCGGTCCAAGTGGCAATGCGCTTCATCTACGGCGAGGCGAGCTCTGAGTTGGTGAGGATGGAGCATAATGTTCAGATAAATGTGCGAATGCCTAAACTGCCTCGTCGAAATGTCTCTCCAAGAAACCTCAGGTCGAAATGTCGCTCGGAAATTTTTCTGGTTGGAATGTCGTTGGTCGAAAATGCCTGGCGTGATGGGAACTCCAGAGCCAACCCCAAGTGAGCGAGGGGAACTGGGGGTGTGGGGCTCAACCCTCGCGGTTCACTGGACGGTTACCGAACGAAGACAAAAAGGAGGGTCCTCCTTGTTTTAGGCCGCGCGGCTCCGATAGGTTTCGGATTTTGGGCTTGGTTTCTGGTGGGATGGCCGTTGGCAGCACAAAAAGCGACCGGGTGAGCTAGAATCGTCGGATCGTTTTCCTACAAAACGGATCTAGGGATCAGACCGATCGAGCGAACGTTGTCGACAGGCGGGAACGGCAAACCCTCAATTCGAAACGAAACACGGCGACTCGAGTCGGTTTCACGGTAGATCCTAGGCAATGGAATGTGAGCAAGTCCAGGGATTGGGAGGACGTGGGGTGCGATGGTGTTGGGGTTGGATGGGCTTCCTGCTCTCTGCCTCTCGGGGAGAACCTCGCTGGATGGAGTCAGGGTGGTGTAAGGTTGGGCTGTAAGTCTTTCGTTGCAAGGACGAAATAGGCGAAATTCTATGAAACGGAGGTGATTGGCTTTCGAGAATACTGAGTGTCGGGCCAGACAGATCGAGCGTCGCACGTCTGACCTGGACATGCTGGAGCTTTGCTACAACCCAACACCAAACCTGACGAGGGATTGCGGAACGTATGATCTGCCACGAGGAGCGCTAAGATTGGAAGGCGCCACCTGATGATCCGAACTAGACTCGAGGCCGTGAGCGTGATGTACAAGGCTGACTCACCATGCCCCCCTAGGGAAAAAAATCGTGCGAACAGGGAGGGGCAGCAAAGCGTGTCCGCCACGTCTCTGTAACGCGTACGGACCGAACCAAACCTTATCTTCAAGCAACCTCGCCTCACGGAATCTCTGTGCTGTCAATAATTCGTCCAAACCTGGTAGCGTTTGGTTCGGCTGGTCAATCATCGTGCGGACCAATCCCAACACAGTGACCAAGCCTTCCTGAGCACTCAAACACACATCCCCTTTCAATTCGACCATCGCGGCATCCCGATTCCCGAGAGTAAATACTACGGCATTCTGAGTCTAGGGAATGCACATTTTCGAAACACGGAGCCTTCTAGATCGCTCCGAGGCTGTTTTCTTCCCGATCGTCACTTAGAAGCTAGAGCAAAAATTTCTTCATTTTTCAGTCCCTCGGATATCGGCCATGGGGGCCGAGGCTGCCACCTTTCTCCCAGGCCCACTTCCAGTAGACACGAGCCACGTGCTACAGTGCCCTGCGTCGGCCCTGCCTTTTCTTCAGGAGTTGCGTGCGCGTCGTCCAGTCAACGAGGATGACCCTTCCAAGAAACTGCCAGAGGTTCAAACTCCGCCATCTGAGCACGCGACGCGTTCCAAGATCGCAGACAACAATGCCACCGACGACATGAAAACGGAGCCCGTCGCAAGCGAGCCGGAGCGGGGCCTCACGGAGAACCTCGCGGATACATACGTGTCATCGGGGAGCGCGTGCGTGGATTTCCTCTTCCACGTGCTGCCGCAGACCGAGCGCGACGATGCGCACCGGCGGCTCGAGGCTGCATGGGCGGACGACCCAGCCACGGCGCTGCGGCTCGTGATGCAGCTGCGCGCGGTGCGCGGCACGGGTAAAAGCGACCGCTCCAGCTTCTTCCACTGCGTCACGTGGCTTTACCAAAACCACCCGCGGACCCTCGTGCAGAATCTGTGGCTGGTTCCGGAATTCGGGTGCTTCAAGGATCTTCTGGAGATCGTGCGGCTCGCTCTGGCGGAGGAAGGCGTAGACGCCATGGAGGACGGTACGGTGCCTTGGAATGGCACGAATCATGGAAAGAAGATGATGGGGAAGCGCGATGGGAACGGGAGCAGGGGCGGCAAGGGAGGCAAGAGTCGTGAGGAGCGGGTGGCGGAGAACAGGCGGCAGATGGCGGAGGAGAGCGAGCGCGCGGCGGTTGTGCGCAAGGAAGCGCACGCGCGGAGGGCGGCGGCGGTGGCTCACGCGTACGAGTCGAGTGAGCGGCTGCGCGCCGTGCACAACGCGGTGGGGGCCGTCTTCGCGGTTGCGCTGAAGGGGGACCTGGAGACGATGCGCGCATTTGAAGAGAAGCGCGCGCGGAAGACCGCAGAGGGGGGAGGGGCGAAGTCGGAGGAGGGGGAGTTGAAGAAGGAAAACGAGAAGGCAGAGGCAGGGGAGAAGGCTATGGAGGTAGAGGGGGAGGGGCTGAAGGAAGAGAAAGAGGAGAAGGGAGGGGATGGCGAGAGCGGTGGCAAGGGCAAGAAGAAGCGCAAGTGGATGGGGATGCCGGCGCCGAAGCTGTCTCTGGCTGCCAAGTGGGCGCCCTCCCCTGGCAAGTCGTTCGATCACTGCACTCTCCTCACCTCCTCCATCGCCCTCCACCTCTTCCCCCAATCCTCCTCCTCTTCCACTCCTTCCTCTGCCGCTCCTGCTGCTGCTGCTGCCGCTAAATCCGATGCTGCTGATGCCGAGATGGATGTGGACGGTGGAGCAGCAGCGGGCGCGGGGGGGTACGTGCGCGCAGCAAAGGAGCGGCTGCAGAGGGAGGTGCTGGCGCCGCTGCGGAGAGTGCTGGAGGTGCCCGAGGTGCACATGAGCAGCGGGCGGTGGGAGCACGTGGCGTACGGGCGCGTGCCATCCGTGTGCATGAAAAAGAGCCGCAAGCTCTTTCTCTCCCATGACGAGGCGAGGTTCAAAGAGTACCTCGAGGATGTGAAGGGCGGGGAGGCAAAGATCGCTTCGGGAGCGCTGCTGCCGCATGAAGTGGTAAAAACGGCCATGGAATCAGTGGGGGATAGTGACGATACAGTGGGTGAGCTCCAGTGGAAGGCTATGGTGGCTGATGTGCGCAGCAAGGGGTCGTTCGGGAACAGCATGGCGGTGTGCGATGTGTCGGGGAGCATGGCAGGTATACCCATGGAGGTGGCCATTGCACTGTCGCTGCTCGTGAGCGAGGTGAGCAGCGAGCCGTGGAAGAACCACCTCATTACCTTCTCCGCGCAGCCCACAATCCACCACGTGCAGGGAGAGACGCTGGTGGAGCGCGTGAGACGCACGCAGCACATGGCCTGGGGCTACAACACCAACTTCCAGGCGGTGTTTGACCTGCTGCTGTCCCGCGCGCAGCAGTTCGAACTAGACCCGGCCGACATGGTGCAGCGCCTGTATGTGTTTTCTGACATGCAGTTTGACGAAGCAGGTAGGGCTAGTGAAGGCGACTGGGAGACGGACCACGAGGCGATTGTGCGCAAGTACACTGCGGCGGGTTACCCTGTGCCGCAGATAGTGTACTGGAACTTGAGGGGGGATGCGTCTGCGAGCAGCACGCCTGTGGCTGCGAGTGAGGATGGGGTGGCGCTGGTGTCGGGGTTCAGCAAGGGCATGCTGCTGGCTGTGTTGGAGGGCAAGGAGCTTACTCCCATGATAGTGCTCGAGGAGGCTATCAAGGGAAAGCTCTTTGACCTCGTTCAGGTTGTGGATTGATTGATTGGCACAATGTTAGGCTTACATGTATCGTAAGGGGGGTTTTATTTATTCAAAACTCATATGGAGTTTTGATTGTGTTTGCATGAGGCTTGATATCTGCCTAACCTGGCAGTTAATGTTCAACAGGGTTTTCCTTCCAAACACTTCACAGTGGGGAAAAAAATGTACGGTAATGAAACTTCATACTGTCTACTACCCCTGGCAAACAAGAGTGTGGCTGTACCGTAGTACGGTACAAGTATCAGTGAGCCCCAAGAACGGGATAAGTACGGTAAAGTAACACTGCACATTCAACCCCGACTGCCCCTCCAGTCCCTGACCCTGTCCCTGTCCCACCTGCTGTTCTGCTGCTGCGGCTGCCTCTGCTGCCGGTAATCCTGACTCTCACCCCGCCCTCCTCCCTCCCTCCGCCCACCTCCATACCATCCACCCCCCCTCCCAGCCTCCTGCCCCTGCCAACCCCCCCCTCCCTGTCCCTGTCCCTGTCCCTGTCCCTGCCCCTGTCCCTGCCACCCCCCCATGGCCCCATATCCACCCTGCTCCTGCCAACCACTTGCCACCTGTGTAACAGATCCCAGGGGAACAGGCAAGGCCCCACCAACTCCTGCTACCCCTGCTGCCCCTCCCGCATACCCTCCCTGCCCATGCCCATACCCGTAGCCCTGACCAGGAGGAAAGGCCATGAGTGGGGCCGCGGGGTGAGGTGGGGCGAATGGGAAGGTGGGGGTGTGGGGAAGGGAGAGCGGGTGGGGGTGGAATGGGTGGGGCGGGCCTAGGGGTTGCTGTGATGGGACCTGCTGTGGTTGGTTTGGGGGTTGAGGCATGGGTGCATGAGGGAGGAATGGCGGGGGTGAGGTGTTGGGAGCGGTAGCATATGGTGGAGGAAGGTTCTGCTGCTGATTAAGATACTGCTGCTGATTGGGATACTGCTGCTGCTGTGTCTGCTGATTAGGGTATTGCTGCTGCTGCTGCTGCTGCTGCTGCTGTTGTTGTTGCTGCTGTTGCCAAGCATTCCACGGGGTAAGTGTTTCACCATTCCTCGAAGCAGCCTGAACGCTTCTACCTTGTTTGCTATCCACGAAACCACTCACAGGCTGAACACCCCACCCACTGCCTCTCCCTCTCCACTCACCGCTGCGTTGCTGCTGCCACTGCTGCTGGTGTTGCAAATGCTGCTGCTGCTGCTGGTGGTGGTTCTCCGTAGCAGCCATACCCGCAGTCCCACGGATAGGCCCTGTGGTGAGGTCACCACGACCAGCAAAGTCACTGCAACCAGCAGCAGCAGAAGCATGAGCAGAGGCAGCAGAGAAAGAGCCTTGCTTCTGGTCCCAGCGACTGTGGTGGGTAACAGGCACCGCTGGAACCCACTCAGTAGCAGAAGGGGTGGGCGCTCCATTAGTGACAGGCACAGACGCAGCTCCTGCCCCAGCAGCATTCTCAACACCCTCGGCGCCATCGCCATTTTCCTCTTCCTCCTCCTCCCCATCCTCCTCATCCCCCTCCTCATCCTCCTCATCTTCCTCATCCTCCTCCTCCTCTCCTTCTTCTTCTTCTTCTCCTTCAGACACTTCTACTATCCGCCTAGCTGTTTCCTCAACCACCCCTCCCTCACCACCACCATCATGCTGATTCAAGGAAGCACTCCCTTCCAGTGCACTTGAACCATGCATGCTCTCATCCTCCCCTCCTTCCTTCTCACCCCCCTGCTGCTGCGCCAACGCCTCCTGCTTCTTCTGTTTCTTTTTCTTCTGCTTCTTCTTCTGCTTCTTTTTCCTCTTCTGCCCAGCTGCATCCCCCCCAAACCCACCGCCCCCTTTTCCAGAAGCACCCACAGCAGCAGCAGCAGCAGCAGCAGCAGCATGGGAGGGGGCAGAAGCACGATGTGAAGCACCTCGAGCAGGAGCAGCTGAGGCATGTGCGGGAGGGGACGGCGGGCGGAGCAGGAGCAGCAGGTCGTGCAAGTGAGCGACTCTGACGGCAGGCAGGCCCAAGGGGTTGCTGCACACGAACGTGGGGACGTCCGCTGCTGCTGCCAGCTGTGACAGGTATGCTCGGAGAGATCCCGAGGGTGCTGGGGAAGGGGGGAATGGGGAAGATGGGGTGGAGGAGGGGCGTTGAACGGTGAGGGAAAAGAGAAGTATGAAGGGAATGAAGGGAACAGAGAGAGAGAGGAGGGAAAGATGGTATGTGGCATGATGGAATGAAGCAAGTGGAAGAGCTGTGGATGTTGCTTGGCAGATAGGAAGAGCAAGAGTGAGGAATAAGAAAGGGAAGAAAGAGGTACCAAGAGCATTGTCGAGAGTGTCAGTGAGATGGTAGGTCTGCGGGAAGATGGCTGTGTGCTCCTGCAACAAAGCAGCAAAGCAACAAAGCAGAAGCAACAACAGAGCAACAAAGCAACAGGAAAGCATTACTGGCAGTTCCTACATAGGACCAGGGTGACAGAGGGACGGTTGGCTTGAGAGACACTGCACCGTGGATGCAGTAGAACAAAGAGCAGCAGGCGCCCCAGAAACAAATTTTGAGGCGCCTCAAAAAGAGCAGCAGGAGCCGCAGAAACAAAAGAAGGCAATGAAGGGGAGGCAGCAGAGGAGGAACGCGCTGCAAGGCCAGCCAACACTAGAGAAAACGAAGCAGGTACAGGCGGAATCAACACGTCCAACCACTCCTCTTCACCGCGCTCCACCACTACTGACCGGGTTAAGCACGGCCTTGTAGGGCGAGTCATCAAGCAGCAGCGTGTTGGAGGGGCCGTACGTGCCGGGCGGCCAGGGCATGTCTTGGTGCACGTTGCCCCACACGTGGCTCAGCTCCTTTAGGAAGATGGGCTTGTGGCGGTTCGCCGGGTGCTTCAGCCCTGTGTTCGTGCACCGTGCTTGGTCCTGGTGGGGTGGGGTCGGGTGGTGTGGTGTGGTGTGGAATGGAGCAATGTGGTGTGATGTAAGGTACAGGCGAGTGAGTCATCATGGTGATAAGCGGCACCCTGGCTTGGCCTCAAGAGAGTCATGAGTCACAACATGAGAACATGGATGGAACCCCAGTCACAGGGCATCCTGGGCACATGTGATGTGATTGACTGTGAGCTGAGCAGACGTGATGCGTGTGTGCATGGGGCATCGGGGCTTGCAGAGTGCACAGTGCATACCCAGATGAAGGCGATCTCGTTCTGGCGCTGCTGCGGAAAGACAAACTCCAGCAGCGCACACACGTTGTACCTGGTTGATTCACGAGCACAGCACAGGGGGTGGGGGAAGGGGCGGCGCATGACCGCAGAGCAGGGAGGGAGCAGGTGGAATAGATATATCAGGCAGCGAAACCATGCAGTGGAATCATGAGTCGACTGGAAACAAGGCAGCGAAGCCATGCATTCATCCATACAAACATATGGTGGCGTGACGCCACACAACGAAAGTGCAAGGGCGGGCGGGCAAACACATGGGAGGCCACCAATTATATATTCCATGGATCCTGCAGCACTTTCTCAATTTCAAAACAAGCTCGACGGTGCCCCATGCGTCATGCCTCATGAGCCATGCCTCCTGCCCCATGCCACCCGTCCCCTGCCCCCTGCCCCCTGCCCCTGGTCCCCCCGCCCTGTGCCCTGTAACCACATGCGGGAGGACGACCACACGGCGACCACGAAGTTGTCCAGGCAGAAGCGCGCAAACTCCTCACAGAACGGCCGCCGGTACACTGCAACGGGGGGAGGATGCGGGGAGGGGAATGCGGGGAGGGGCGAGAGGTGGGCGAGAGGGGGGGAAGGGAGGAGGAGCGAAGGGGAAAGAGAGAAGTGGTGAACCGGGAGGGGAAGCGGAGGTGAGGCGGATGGAGAAGGCCAGGACTTGCACCGGCACAGAAAGTGGGCGGATCATCAAGGCTCCAATCGCAATGGTGGAAAGTGGGTGGCTGCTTGGCAGCGCAACCTGAACATGATGAAGCAGTTTTCAACTGCGGGTGCATGGTGCAGGGTGCGGGGCGCAGGGTGCACGGTGGAGGAAGCAGGGCGCGGTGTGTGATGACGACAGAGAGAGCTCCAAGCGCGAGCAGCCGATGCTGCTCTGAGGGGCCCTTGGCCCTTGCGAGCACGCACGCGCGCACCATGGAAGTTGTTGGCACGGCCGTCTGGAGGGCGCTGCCCCGGCGGTATGCCATCGCGCACATAGCACGTGTCCACCAGCAGTCCGTTCACATCCAGTATCAGCAGCTTCTTCCTCCTCTCCTCCCCCTCTCCCTTCCCCTCTGCCTGTTCCTCTGCTCCCTCCTCGCCTCCCTCCTTCCCTCCCTCTTTCCTTTCATCCTCGCCTCCCTCGTTCCTTCCCACCTCCCCTCCCTGTTCCTTTCCCTCCTCCCCTCCCTCCTCCCCTCCCTCTTTCCTTCCCTCCTCCCCTCCCTCTTTCCTTCCCTCCTTCCCTCGCTCCTCCCCTCCCTCCTCCCCTGGCTCCCCCCCGCTCCCGTCCTTTCCCTCCTCACCTCCCTCGTGCTCTACCTTCACATCTGATGAATCCTTCTCGCCGTCCGTCCCCGTATCCCGTGCTCCCTCATACCCCACCACTCCGTCCTTCTTCTCATCATCGCCCTCTTCTTCGTCCCTCCTGCGTCTTCCCGTCGCCTCACTTCCTGCTCTGTCTCCCTCCACTGGTTCTCCTGATAACAAGCTCTCTCCCACACCATTCCCCCCAACACCGCTCTCTCCCACATGCCTCTCCCCGTCACCCTTCTCCAGCACCCCTGCCGTCCTCTCCTCCTCCCCCTCGCCTGCCGCGTCTCTCATCACCTCCTCACACCCGTCATTCACCAACCCAGCAGCGCCCGCATCTTCTTGCCGTCCCTCTCGCTGTCCCACTTGCTGCTCCTCTTTCTGCTCCTCTTGCGGCTCCTCCTGCCACGCCTCCTGCAGCCCTCCCCGCAATTCTTCCTCTGCGCTACTCCGCGCCTCCTCTCGCCCTGCTCCCTCCGCTCCCTCTGCTCCCCCTGCTTTCCCTGCGCCCCCTGCTCCCTCCGCCCCTTCTGCTCCCCCTGCTTTCTCTGCGCCCCCTGCTTCCTCCGCTCCGCCCGCTCCCTCCACCCCCGCCTCTACCATCATCTCCTCCCTCGATTCTTCCCCTCCCGCGCTTCCCCCCGCTGGCCGTTCCGCCACCCCTCCCGCATCCTCCTCCATCGCTTCCGCCACTCCACTCGTTTCCTCCGCTTCCCCCTTCACCTCGACCGCACCCCCCTCCGCTAACATGCCTTTCACGTCAACTACTCGCCCTGCATCCTCTCTCTTGCCCCCGGATCCTTCCCCTCCGCTTATACCTGTCTCCCGCTCCACGCGCGCTAGCCTTTCCCCTTCCTCCCCGCGGAGTGGTTCCGCCATCCGGGCGGGGCCGACCTCTCCCAGTCCCCCCTCCGCCCCGCGCCGCTCCGCGCTCTCCCCAACGATCGCCGACCGAAGGCTCCGCGCAAACGCCTTGTCCCTATCCCCGCGAGAGCTTCCCCCGACCGGATTCTTATCGATCAATTCCCACTCGAATGGCTTCCGCTCGAAGGGCTTCCGCTCGAATGGCTTCCGCTCGAATGGCTTCCGCTCGAATGGCTTCCGCTCAAACGGATTCCGCTCGACCGGCTTCCGCTCGACCTGCTGCCGCTCGACCGGCTTCCGCTCTACCGGGTTCCTCTCGATCGGCTTTTGCTCCACTGGCTTCCGCTCGCTTGCGTCCCCCTCGTTTGACTTCCGCTCAGCTGGATTCCGCTGGACTGGCTTCCCCCTGTCCCGCGATAGCCAGTTCCCCATCCACGCTAGCGCGAATCACGCGCCTCCGAGGCGCAAAAAAATTCGACCGAGATCACGGAGGGATTGCATCCAAGAAAACGCGAACCGAGCTGGGAGTAGGCGGATGGGCAGGACGACGCGGAAGACGAGCGCAGCCGTGTCGCGAGAAGATCCGACCTGAGCCTATCCCTAGGAAGGGCCAGAGTCACTCGCAGCAACTAAACGCGTGCGAACACGTGGGAATGGAATGCAGCGGCGGGCAGGTGGGTGGGTGAAGGGGGGTTTGCTTTTGCGGTGAGTGATGGTGGTGTGGCGAGTGGCACAGCGGGGAGTGACAGAGACGAGGCCCGTTTGCATGTGCTTCAATTGAATCGCTCTTGTTCCAACTATCACAAAGTTCTGGGCCGCACTGCCTGTTTCCTGAATCGCACTTTATCGCTCTCAACCTTGTACTGTAGAGAGTTTGAAGCCGGCTGAAAACCACACCCCAACCCCCGTGTCAGCCTGTGTCAGGCAAGGTGCGTTCGAAGGAAACCGAACCAAACGAGATGCGACGGGTGACAGCAGTTTCGGATCAGGTCACGTGGAATGTAACGAGAACAAGGAGAGTTACATATAGTGCAGTTCGTACGGTGCCACTCAAATGTCTAGGCAGAATTTGCCGTGATGGCGATGGACGACGTTCACGAAAACGTTCACGAGAGTGGGATTACTCATCGCGAACATGGTGCCTCCCAACCCAAGCGCGAGGGTAGCATCTATTTTCGCGCATCCCAGATTCAGGTGAAAGACAGATTCACAGCTACATGAGTATCGAAAGCAGCCATCTTAGTTCCACACACATCGTCACCGCAACTTGCGGTACGTGCACCTACGGACCTGCACGGCCCACGTCGCGTGCTTCAACTCACTGCATCGAGGATCGCTTGATTTCGATCTCTACCCATGGCTTCCGCACGGCGCGTAGTGGAGCATCTCGTCTTCTTCCAGGTGAGAATGCAAGCGTCAGAGTGCTGCTCACAGTTCCGATTGCCTCGCGAAACTAGGAAAATCATAAGCGCATGCCACTCCAAACTCTCGACGTTACCGGAATACCCGTTCCTCTTAACGCCACCCTCCCCCCCCTCCTCCCATAACCTCTCATACCTGTTTCGTCCCGTACTCCCTCACATTTCCCACATCTCTCCTTCTCGCTCAGGTCAAGCCAGACACCCCCGCCGATCGCGTAGCTACCTTCCTTACCAACCTCAACGCGCTGCGCACCCTCCCAGGCGTGCTCTACCTCTCCGCGGGACCCGCTCTCCCCGCCGTCCCCGCAGCACCCGCCGGCGCGTCTTCCGCCGCCGCGGCCTTCACAAGCCCGTGGACTCACGCGCTGTTTGGCCGTTACGAGTCGCGCGACGCGCTGGAGCAATACGCGGTGTCGCCACAGCACGTGGCAGTGGTTACAGAGAACGTTAAGCCCATCATCAGCGACATCGCAGCCGTCGATTGGGAAACCGACGTCCCTGATGCCTCGGCCTCGTCCGCTCCGCCCCCACATGGCTCTGTCCACACCGCCATGATCCAATGGCAGCAGTCCGCGTCACCTGACGCCATAGCAGCAGCAGTGGCGCAGCTCACGGCCGTTGCAGCAGCGGGCTGTGTGTCGGTGGGGGAGAACTTCTCGCCTGCACGCGCCAAGAGCTTCACGTGGGGCTTGGCGGTGTATGCAGGGGATGAGGCCGTGGGAGGGAAGTTGTGGGAGCAGGAGGCGTGCAGGGGTGTGCTACAGCTGGCGGAGAGGATTGATTGCGTTCATTTGTCAGGCAGCTCTTCTCCCAGTAGTTGATGGACCGGACCAGGTGAAATTTCAGGGAAACAAGCAGGTTGTCCATTAGTACAGGGACGAGAAATTTATGTGCCACAAGCTGGGCTAGGTAGTCAGTACCATATGTTTATACGCTGCAAATTGGAATGCTATCCATTCTTAGCATCTGTCTCTCCTAACTCTGCTGTTCCTGCTGCTGCTGCTTCTGTTGCTCCGGTTGCTGCTGCCAGCTGCTGTTGCAGGAAGGCCTGTGTGGCTTCCACCTGCAACAAACGAACCAGCCCCACAGAAAGAAACACCAGAACGTGACTAGCTGTGTAATGAACGAGCGCATGCAAGCACACCCCGCTACATCCTACATACACCCAACACCCCACACCCCACACCCCACCCACAACCTAAACCACACACACCACACCCCACACCCCACCCACACCCTAAACCACACACCCCACACCCCACACCCCAGCAACAACCTACACCCCACACCCCACCTATACCCCACACCCCACCTATACCCCACACCCCACCTATACCCCACACCCCACCTATACCCCACACCCCACCTATACCCCACACCCCACCTATACCCCACACCCCACCTATACCCCACACCCCACCTATACCCCACACCCCACCTATACCCCACACCCCACCTATACCCCACACCCCACCTATACCCCACACCCCACCTATACCCCACACCCCACCTATACCCCACACCCCACCTATACCCCACACCCCACCTATACCCCACACCCCACCTATACCCCACACCCCACCTATACCCCACACCCCACACTCTACCCACTCCTGACCTTGTCCAGCAGAGCCATGCAGTCGCCTTGCCCGCTTGCAGCAGCAACAGCGAGCATCTCTCTGACGCCCTGCATGAGGCGCAGCGCGCGTGAGAAGCCCTCCCTAGCGCGCGCCTCCTCCCCCAGCGCCTGCTGCGCGTCCGCCACCTTGGCTGTTGACACTGCCACGTCCAATGCCTGCAGGGGTTTGTGTGGGGGGTACGGAAGAAGAAAGGCAGGGAGGCAGGGAGGCAGAGAGGGAAGGAGGGAAGTAGAAGAAAGAAACTTTGAGACGTGGAAAATTGATGGGGGTGTGTGGGAGTGCGAAGCCATGAGAAGGGGAGAGGGGCAGGGTGGCAAAGGAATACTGTGGCGGCACCAGAAAACCCGCACATGTGAGCGGTTGATGGGTGTGGGATAGCCAATCACAAAACTAACCAGCAACACCAGGCACAGCAGCAACCAACCAAGCCACCGTCCTCATAGCAACCGACCAAGAACCAGCCCAAGGCTGTCCACGCCAAAACCACAACGGACCTTACTGGCCTTCTCCCGCACAGCGCCCTCCCCTTTCTCCCCCACTCCGCGTGACTGGGCACATGCCTCCGTGCGAGCCAGAGCGTGCTGCCTGCGTGCAAGAGCCTGCTGGTAGAGAGCTAGCGCTTCAGGCAGGCGGTCGGAGCGGTAGTGCAGGTCTCCCAACTTGTTGAGCGTCACACAGAGCGCATGGCACAGCTGCAGTGGACGAGGTGGGGTGGAGTGGGCAGAGGAGGTTATGGGGGAGAGGGAGAGGGAGAGAGGGAGAGAGGGAGAGAGGGAGAGAGGGAGAGATGGCAAGAAGGAAGAAGGAAACGGACCGCTTGAGAGGAAACGGAGAAGGAAGAAAGTGGGAGGGTGGGGTTTCCTTGAGGTGGCAAGACCGAAAGGTAGGCTGTTATTGAGATGAGTAAGAAACACATTTGAATGCTAGAAATGGCATGATTCCAAGCTGAAACAGAAGCAGGATCGCATCCACAAGGCCAGGGTGGCAGTGGAAGGATAGCAGCCTTATTTGTTGACTCAGGAACCAAAATGCCACTCGAGGATGGCGGCACACCAGCAACTGTGGTACGATCGAGCCCGGATCGTGAATCGCCTTACGTCTCTCCCGCTGTAAGTTCACCGACCTCATAGCATCAGTGAGCTCACTTGGTTTGTGTGGTTGGGGGCTTTCAGTCCTCATTACCACTCAGCACCACTCATCACTTGGCTATCATCGGCACCGCACCGCACACCTCTCGTGCTCCAAGTTCACCGGCCTCATAGTGCGAGCTGCTTGGATGGGACTGATCAATAGTGCCTGCCTTTAGTGTCAGTCGAGCTTTCTTGCCCTGGTGCTCTCAACACCACCGCGCCTTCCGTCTCTCCCGTACCAAGTTCACATACCTCATATTGTAAGCCCAATTCATCTCTGCCTGCTTGTGACTGATCAATAGTGCTTGCCTTGCATTTCAGTTAAGCTTTTGCCCTGATGCTCTCATCACTACCATGGCTTCTGCCTTTCCCACTCAAAAAGGTTCACCCACCTCATAGCGTGAGCGCACTAATGCTGCCTGCTTGTGACTGATCAGTCACAAGCAGCTAATAGGTGAGGGGAGAGGGATAGCAATAGGGTGAAGGAGAGGAGGCGGAAGCAGCTGCAGCAGCCAGCGAAGGGAGGGAAAAGGAGAGACAGGACTGGACAGGCGAGGGAATCGGCAGGGAGGGAGCGTGGTGGGAGTGTGGAAAGTAAATACTCATGGGCAGTCATTAGGCCCAAAAATATGATACTTGTGAAGATTACCTCGTATCTGCCTAATAAAAAGTGGCACTATGGGGGAGGGTTCAAGACGCAGGAAGTTGCGGTTTCCTGGGCGGCCATCACCAAGGTTTTGCATACGAAGGAGCCTAGGGCGGAAGCTACAAGGATTAAGGTGGTGGAAGCACTGAAGGAATCGGTGAAAAGCTTTCTAACGGTTAGAGAGGTTGAAAACTTTTCACTCAAGTCAACCTCCCCCGCCGTTAGAAAGCTTTTCACCGATTCCTTCAGTGCTTCCACCACCTTAAACTTGTAGCTTCCGCCCTAGGCTCCTTCGTATACAAACCTTGATGATGGCCGCCCAGGAAACCGCAACTTCTTGCGTCTTGAACCCTCCCCCATAGTGCCACTTTTTATCGGTCGATCTTTCTTACCCCAGTGCTCTCAACATCACCGCGCCGTCCGTCTCTCCTGCACCAAGTTTTCGGACCTCATAGTGTAATCTCAGCTCATCTTTTTATGCTTGTGACTGATCAATAGTGCCTGACTTTTGTCTGAAGAGTGGTGATGTGGAAGTCACACTTCCTCTAACAAGTGGAGTTGTTAAAGTCACACTTCCTCGCTCTCCTTGCGTTTGCTGCCTCCCCCCCTGCAAACCCCAGCCCTGCTCTTCTAGCAAAGGCGATGTGCGAGTGAGTTGGAGTACTGAGAGTGGTTCTGCAAAAGTCTCACTTCCTCTCTCTCCTTGCCTTTGATGCCTCCCCACCTGCAACCCCTAACCCTGCTCTCTGTCCCATCGTAAACGCACCAGCACCGGCCCAGAACCCACCTCGTCATCAACAACAGCACCGTTGGAATTCCCACCACCATGCTTCTCCTGCTCCTGCTGATGCCCCTCCTCCTCTGCTAGTTCACCCTCGCTCTCCGCCTTGCCTTTGCGCGGAGCAGGCAGCGCAGCAGAGAGCACATCCACAGCCTCCTGGTAGCTGCTGGCCGCCGATGCCACGTCAGACATGAGCAGACTGGCAGGGCCATCGGGGATGGGCAAAAGGAGAGGGGAAGGCAGGAAGGGAGTAGGATGATAAGGCAAGAGAACAGTTTCTGACAGTGGAGGGCTAACGGAGATGCTACTGGCGGGGTGCAGGTCAGCAATCAAAGAGGGGGAGGGAGGGACAAAGACAGGGGAAGAGGAAAATGAGGGGGGGATGAGGTCTGGTGTGTGAGGGGAGAGGAGGAGAGGAGGGGTAGAGTAGCAGGCACGCACCAGCAGTCGGCATGGGAGCCAAGCACTGCTCCCAGTCGTGACACTGCTGCACGCCGCTGTGTCTCAGAGCGTTCCACTCCGCCTGCTACTGTTGCTGCTGCTGCTGCTGCTGCTGCTGCTGCTGCTGGGTCTGGCACGGGTGAGTCTGCAGCGATATCGCCTGACTGTGGAGACTCATTTTCTCGAGCGTTGCCAGCACAGCTGCTGCTGCTGCTGCTGCTGACACCACGGGCAGCATCAGCATGAGCAGCAGGAGCAGTAGAAGCAGCGGAGAGTGGGGAGAGGAAGGCCTTGAGCGAGGAGGCGGAGAGGGCGAAGCGGGCTCGCGCACTGGGCAGGTTGCCATGCTGCATGGCCTGGTGAAGGGTGCCGCATGGGGACGGGAGGAGGAGATTAAGAGGGTGAGAGGGGTTCAGTGGCAGAGGGATGAGAGAGAGCGGACTGATGCGATGAAAATGGCAAGCGCTGGAGGGTTTGACTAAAGAAAGTCTTGAGCTTGACCACGACACTAAAGAGTGGACAGGCACGATATCTTAGGCACCTAGGACATCGCTACAACCATACCATCAGACACAAGACCGATGATCCCCCCTCCATTGCCCCATCCCCCCCCAATTTCCTTCTCCCTTTTCCCTTTCTCCCGCTCCCTTCCCTCCTTTCCTACATCAACTCTTCTCCTGTGCCCTTTCACCCCCTTGTACCTTCATTGCACCCAGCAGCACCCAGCAGCACCCAGCAGCGGGCAGCAGCAGCAGCATCGTACCCGCATGGCGTGGATGAAGAGGAAGCTGCCCGGGCTGGCCTTGTCTAGATCCAGTGCCTCCACCTCCACCCTCGCTGCCTCTGCCTCCCGCTCCGCTGCTGCTGCTGAACCTGCAGCTGCAGAAGCATCTGTGCCGGACGAATCCGCAGCAGCGACAGCGTCTGGCGCGTTGTGAGACGGCTCGGAGCGTGGTGCGGGCAGTGACGGGGGGAGCAGAGCAGGGGGGCGGTGCAGCACGTGCGCGGAGATGAACGCGTCCACGGCATGTGTGAGCGCTGCGTCAGGGAGAAGCGCCTTCACGTCGCACCCGCACAGCGGACAGTCCGTGAACCGCGCTATGCACTCCCTGCCCGTGCGGCCATGCAGTCATGCGGGTTATGGGGGGAAGGAGCGGGAGGGGCGGGGGGAAGGGGAGAAGGGAGGTTGTGTTGGGGGAAGGGAGAGGGGGAGAGGAGTGAGACAAAAGAAGGGTTGTCGAAGCTCAGGGGGATTGGGAACAAAGCTGGGGGAGGGGGAGGAATGGGGGTTGGGGTGGGGCATGGGCGTGTTCCCAATGGGATGAGTACCACAAGTGTAGGAATTGATCAGTGATGCGTAAGCAACACGAGAGAGTCGCCGCGGCAGGGAAGGCGTGGGACAAAGCCTGGTGAAAAAGCCACAAAAGGCAACGACAATGACTCCCTTCTCTTCTCCCACGGCCTCATCATCCTCACCTCAAAATTCCTCACCCACGCCCCACTCGCTTCCCCGCTGAGCAACCGACTCCCACCCTGTCCCAATCCCTCTCTCTTATCTCATGCTCTCCCCTCCCTCTCGCTTTATCTCCCTCTCGCTTCCTCTCTCTCGTCTTTCTCACAACATCTCCGCACCTGCAGTACACGTGCTTGCACGGGTCGCAGCGCGAGGGGTCGAACAGCAACGCCTTGCACAGCACGCAACTCATCGGCCCCACAGCCGCCGCCATGCGCCCATCCGCTGCGGAGTCAAATCCGTACGGACACCGCCCCTGGGCAGCCTTCCGCCCGCTCTCCCCCCCGCTCTCCCCCCCCGTCGTCCCCCCATCCGCAGCACCGCTGCTGTCCGCTCGTCCGTCGACCACGTCTGGAGCAGAATTGCGTGGTCCAGATTCGTGTTTTTCCCCGGTAGTGGCATCCCCTCTTTCTGTTGCGGCTTCGCTTGTGCCGGCTGCTGCTGCCGCTGCTGCGATCGGCAAATCTCGCTGCGTCGCTGGGTCGCTTGGAGATGAGCCAAGGAGACCGAAACGCTTCGCGAAAGGGCAGCCTCCTGCGGGGCGAATCGCGTCGTTAGCCTCGCCGGAAGCTGCAGCCGCCGCGAGAAACGGGCAGGACATGGCGGAATTGACGAATTGGGTAAGCAGCTCTCAAACTGCTGCCCCAAACTTGCGCTCGTGAACGGCCTCGTCGCTCACGGTTCTCGCAGGAGTAGGCGAACAATGAAAGCTACGTTGTTGAAAAGGTTAGGGGAACAATTGGCAGGTGATGTTGCAGTAGGTTCAATTACAGGACACCCTAACGAGGAAGGAGGGCACAGTAAAAGTAAGGCGCTGTGCTACCTATCTTGTGCTTTCTGGAACAAATATTGGTTGGGCCATTTTCAGGTGTAATCCACTCTTGCTAGGAAATCTACTCATGTGCGATCCATGTTACTGTGCAGATAAGAACACCAGAATCATTGTAAGAAATTTCTGTCGATAAATCCTTTTCATCCGAGATCCGACTCGAATTAACACAAACAGTCTGAATCAAAAGCGATTTCGGATCACGCCAAGCAAAAATCGAATGGTCACGTCATATTTGCCCGATTTCGACGACACTTTCTGCTTCGCACCAGAAGTTTTATAAAGTACTTCTTATGCAGGATCAGCTGTACTGTTGACTCAGGTGACGGAAGCTGCGCAGGGCAAATCAGCAATCCCTTCTTGGGCGTGCACCCCGAAACTCGATAAAACTGCCCGGGTGATAACACAGTTTGCCCTCATCGTAATAAATACCATGCTGGATTTTGTTTTCGCACTAGACGACCCCACCAGAAAATAAGAATTCTTAAAGGTACTATATATATATATTTCTGCACCTGAAAATGGCCCAATATTGGTTTCGAACGTGTGCGCTGGAAAGTGCTCACGTGTCGCTTCACGAAGACTCCATTGCACTATGACGCGGATCCTGTTTCGGTTGACGAGCCTTGAACAAAGTGCGAATCGCATTCTGGCTGCACCAGTTGACGTGGAAAGACATGTGTTCTTCTAGCTCGTGTAACGCTCTCATAACTCGTGTAACTTTGTTAATATTCGGTTGGAGTTCGTTACGTTCGTTAACAAGTAGTGCATGCACGCGAAACCACTTTCGCTTGGATAAGAATTCCTTATCACTGTAGTGAAAATCTCAGGACCGAATGGCATGTGACCAGCAAACAGCAGCCTCCAGCTTGGCCCATGAACCTGGGCCGAACCAACTTCGAGGCTGTCCAGGTCGGACGATATGTCGGCTGGATCAATGAAGTTCGGCCACGTCAGCGTCAGTCCCCCAAAAGAAACAGCAGAGTACCCAGCTTTAGAGTTACAACTTTCGAAGTAAATGATCCACAACATTTCCTGGGCTTTCATTTTCGGCCTCCAGTCCAAACTTCCACACTTCGCATTGTATTCCCATCGCATTCGCCATGGCTGCCACGAGAATGATTGCTTCCGTTGCGGAGCGCGCCGTCGCTTCGCATGGAGTCACCGGCCCCTCGCTGCGGCAATCTTCGAGCCCCGCATCTGTGGCTGGCGCTCGCAGCGTGTCCTTCTCCCAGTCGTGCGAGCTCACTCAGAGCTCCCGCGTGAGTCTCATTCCCCTCATAACCCACTATCCTTTCCGTTTCTCTCCGTCATTGCGGTTAACTTTCCCTTTTCGATCTCCTCCGCATTCTTTCCAACTAATTCCCACGTCTCTCGATTCCGTCGCCTCCCATTGATCACATCCCTTCCCCCCGTCTCTGCCGCCCACCGCAGGCTCTTTTCCCCGCAACCCGCACGGCGGGGCAACGGCGGTCGGCGCGGGGAGCGGTGCGCGTGGTGGCGCAGGAGCTGCGCACGGAGCAGAAGGTGAAGGTCACGCTGGGCCCGTACACCAACAAGGCCATCAAGGCCTCCGGGCCCCGCCCCAAGGTACCGTCAATGTCACCGCTTACTGCCCCGCAGGACCTCCCGTCTTCCTTTCCGCACCAGCGCCCTTAATCTTCTCTCCGCTACGCGCATTTGAGTCGGATTTTTTCACAGTAGCTCCTCGCTTTCGCCGCGGTCGCTTCTGAGAAATCCCAAACGTGATTGCGACGCGTCCATAACCTTTTATTACTTCCCTGTGCTGCTTCGCTCGTGGCGTGTCTGCTCCGTTCCTCGCAGGTGTCCCAAGAGGCAGTGGACAAGGTGAGCGCCTCTCCTCTTCTGCTTCGTGCCCCCGCTGCCTTCCGCTCTTTACCCTCACCGCTCCACGTTTCGTTCGTTGTGCCGTGTTTTGGAACGGACATGTACATTGTGTGCCGTGATTTGAGTTCTCGAGCAAGACAGCATCAATTACCGTCTCTATTTCCGCGTTTGTCGCTCTTGGCCCCCGTGCCCCCATCCGCCCCTCCACCCCCCCCGCTCCGCGTCCCGCCTGTGCGTGCGCAGGCGCTGAAGGCGCGGTTGGACAAGACGCACGAGTTCGAGCGCACCAACTTCACTGGCTCCGGCGCCAAGCTGGGCCACACGGTGCGTGCTGCGTGCTACGTGCTACGTGCTACGTGCTGCGTGCTGCAGCTGGCCGAATCTTGACCTACGCTGGCCTCTTGTTACGGGCAAACTAGGATAATCTGCTTCTTTCGTCTCCCCTCTCCCCGTTCCACAAGCCCCGAAGCTGCCCCGTTCTCATCAGCACCCAGCACGAACATGTCCTTCGCATAGGATCACCGTCTACATAGTTTCCCACGTGGTTGTCCCCCCTGATTGCCCACGTGGTTGTTTCCCCTGATTGCCCGCGTGGTCCCTCTCCTGATTGCCCACGTGTTTTTTCCCCTGATCGCCCACGTGGGTGCGAGCAGGTGAAGATCAACTTCGAGGGCAAGTACGCGGACGGGCCGCAGGCGGGGCAGCTGGTGAAGGGCACCAAGGCGGCGGGGTACGAGCTGCACCTGGCGGCGCGCGACGACGAGCCGTGGAAGACGTTCGTCGAGCAGATCGTCAAGCAGGGCATGGGGCAGGTGCGTTGAGGGGTGGTGCGCATGGGGCAGGTGCGCAAGGGGTGCGCAAGGGGTGTGCGCAAGGGGTGCGCATGGGGCAGGTGCGCGGATGGTGGGCATGGGGCAGGTGCGCGGAGGGTGGGCTTGGGACAGGTGTATGCAGCCGTGGGACTGGGCAGGTCAGGGGAAAGAGGGTGGGCATGGGGCAGGAACGCGAGAGAGTGGGAGCGGGCAGGGCGGGAAGGGGGAGGGCCAGCGTACGGAGTTGCTGGTGGGGGGGGGATGGGTCAAAGAGGTGGGGGCAGGGTAAGAGAGGTGAGGGCGACGGCTGCAGACACTCATCGGTTCAGAGGTGTCAACAGCTGTCTCTCAATTACTCGCCTTCCCTTCTCACTTCATCCACCCCTCTCATCCACCCCTCTTGCAACGACCTCTCTCTCTACCGATTCCCCGCTATTCCCATCACCCATTGTCACCCGTCGTCACCTCTCAACCTTCATTCTTCATCCCACGTGTCCATCTTGCCGTCCCTGTGGATACATGGTTGCATGCACGGTGTGGCATGGTGTGGCATGGTGTGGCATGGTGTGGCATGGCGTGGTGTGGTGTGGTGTGGCAGGAGGAGACCAAGTCGTTTGTGCTGACCTTCCCAGCGGACTACAAGGCCAAGGCCCTCGCCAACGTCAAGTGCGTGCTCACTGCTCCCCCCACCTCATCCTCTGGGATTCCCCTCCTCACTGCGCTTCATCCTCCGCAATAATCTGTGCTCTACCCTGCACTTCACTCTGCTCTCGGCACTGCAGCCTGCTCTCTGCACAGCCATTCGTGATGAATGATGATCATGCGTTCGCATCAGCAGCACCTTTTTCAGCATGCTGTCTTTTGCCCTGCCTGCCCTCATCCTCCCACATCTGCTTCTCATCACCACCTGTCTTTCTTCCTCTCCTCTCCTCTCCCCCTTCATCTTCCCTTTGTCTCCTCTCTCTGTCTTTTTTCCTTGCACGTTGCCTCTCTTCCCTCTCTCTGTGTGCACCGGCAGGGCGCAGTTCACAGTGACAGTGAAGGAGATTGGCATCAAGAAGGAGATTGAGAAGGACCCCAGGCCGGTTGACGTGCAGCGGTCAGTACCGGCCATAAATTCTGTGTGCTCCACGCTCTCTGCTCCACGCTCTCTGCTCCACGCTCTCTGCACTGCACTCTCTGCTCTGCTCCACACTCTCTACTCCACACTCTCTGCACCACACACTCTGCACTGCCATACGTCCCAACACATGCTTTTGAGTCGACTCACATGCTCGTCCGTGCATTGCTGATGTGCACCCCTACACTCCTGCCTACCTGCGCGTGTGCATCGAGCAGGGCGGAGATAGAGCAGCAGCTGCTGGCAGTGGAGGAGCGCAAGAGCAACGAGGTGCTGGACGCACAGATCAAAGCCGCGCTCATGGACTCCTCTGATGCAGACGTTGAGAAGGTCAGCCAGTCAGCCCTCTCCCCCTACCCACTCCATACTTCACTTTTGCGAATTCCCAGAAGGGAGTACAGTGAAGCCGTGCTCTTGGAGTCCTCGGATTGATGCAGACGTTGGGCAGGTCAGCTCTTGTCCTGTGTTCATTCAGCCCATCCTACTGTTTCAGCCCACCCTCGCGCGTGCTCCGCTCCGCCTCCTGTTTTCAGGATGGGTTGCATATGGCTTGGGTGTTCCTGTCTATGGCATGCGGATTAGGCAGGCTAAGACTGCTTATGCGATGACTTCAATGCTGGAACGCGATGCTGGGTGCAAGGCTGGCTAACGCTCGTAACACTTAGGGAAGAACGCGAGAAGTTATCGTGGGACCTGCAGGCTACCATTCTGCACTGCACTGCACCATCGTTTTCTAGACTATAGTGTGCTTCTGTATCCCATCTTCCTTCCCCATGCCCATACCCTCCCCCCTTCCTTCTCGCCTTCCCATGTATCGTGTGCAGGTGGCAGCGAGTGTGACATGGGCCAAGTTCGGGGAGAAGTCTCTGCAGGACTTCAAGTGGAACGTGGTGCAGGAGGAGGTGAGGCCGGGGGGAGAGACTCTTAGCACAGAGTCACATATGAGTCTAGTCAGTCAAAGGAGTCAAGGTTATTCTTTAGGTGCCTCTAAAATGAATCTCTGCAGGACTTTAAGTGGAATGTGGTGCAGGAGGAGGTGAGGCAGGGAAGCGGAGCGGGTCAAATATCAGTCACATGAGTCCAGTCAGTAAACGAGTCTGAAGTTAGCAAGTGCAGATAGTGGGTTTTCAAGTCACCAGTGTGAGGCAATATCCCCCACACCACTCATTCCTCATTCCACTCCTCTCTCTACACATGCGAATGTGTCTTTTCCTCTCTGCACCCCCCTCCGTGGCTGCCTCCCTTCCCTTGCCTGCTTGCTTGGTGGTGTGCTGCAGGTGTCTCGGCTGGAGGGTATCCCTTTTGATCAGGTGCCAGCATTCCTAAGGAGCCAGGCAGACATCACTTACACTGACTAGAACTGCTCCATGTCCCCTGCAGCTACACAGACTAGGTGTTGCTATGGATAGGTTTTACAGAAGTAGCCCAACATGCTGTACAATGTACATGATTGCGCTTCTTAGTACTATTACGGTACCATCATTGCACATATCACTACTACAATGGATAGGAAGCTGCCTGACTGCCATGCCACATTCCTGGTGCGATGTTTTTGCCTCACGGCGTTTCTTACGGGCGCCAAACTACCCAGTAGTCTCACAAGACTAGATTAGTTCGGTGTGCGTTTGAATTGAATCCTCTACTTTCTATATACATTGATGAAACGAAGGGCTGATACCGTATGTAAGGAGTGGGCAACCAAACATTGGACAGAGAGCAGGATAAAAAACAAACCGAACAAAGTTCCTCATATGCAGCTGAAGGTGCTCTGCATAGGAGGATGCAGCACGGGAATGTGCAAATTAGGGCGCTTTCTCTGATGGTGCTGGTGCCGGTGCTGGTGCCGCTGCTGGTGCCGCTGCTGGTGCACAGGAACGTGTTGCTGCAGCAGCTGCTGCTGCCACACCTTCTAAAGCAGCGGCCACACCTCCTGTCTTGAGGTTCTAGGACCTGCATATATTGCGTAGCTTCTTTGTAAGCTTCTTCACATTCATCATGTGGTCCTTTGCTAAATCTGCTTCTGCTTCAATGGCTGAAATTGTTGCCATTGCCTCCTCCTCTTCCTGGACAGCAATATAGGGAGGGTGAAACACATCAGGATGGGAGAGAGAAGAGAGAGGGTGAGTCGAAGAGGTGTGCGTGGGCAATGGGAATTGTCAAAAGGGATGTGTGTGGGCGGGGGGGGGGGTTTGTAAGTGAAAGCATCCCAGGCACAGGCTACTCACCAGCAGCTACGCACCCGCACCTACTCACCAGCAGCTACTCACTTGCAGCTACTCACCCACAGCCTCTCACCAACAACCTCTCACCTACTGCCTCTCACCTCCTACCTCTAACCCGCGACAACGGCATCTTCTTATAGATTAAGCAATATGACTGAGGGTACGTTCTTGGCTGGTGTCTAGCTTCGGGCCAAGCTGCTTGACACGGGTGAAATTGACGGGCATGAGGGATTTTTTTCGACTTGTGTCAGACGTTCCTGGAGGGGTCTGACACCAGGCAACTTGGCCCGAAGCTAGACACGAGCCAAGAACGTACCCTTACCACCAGTATCTTATATCGAGCAGCAACTGCGTCAACTAGTTTCGACTTATCAAAAGCTGCTTGAACAGATGCTGGAATCGTTGCAGCAACAGTCTCCCAGTCTCTAAAAAAAAGGGAAGGGAAATAATAACAGGAAAAAACGTGAAATATCAGTAGAATTAGAAGCGAAATGTAATCAATCCAATTCAGGCTTTCGTCTCACTCATGAAAAACTTACATTTCAAGATTTGGTCGACCACCGGAATCAAGATAGAGCTGCAGTGCAGAAAAAATTGCTACTTCCGCCGAATCCAGAATGTCAGCATGTGGGCTATTCAAGTAGTCATGCCTTTCTTGTTTGAAGCGAGACTTTGCGAAGGAATATTTGTCCAGAGATTCTCTCTCCATAATCCTGCATTCACAGCATTTAGGTAATGGTTAGACACAATTACAACAATACACAACAAAAACATGATGAGCCACACGCAGGGTTTAGGGCCTGCAGATGAGCGATGCCCAACAAAAATCGTCCCTAACCCGCTCATGGGCCACACGCAGCGGTTGATTGCCCTTATTGGCCATCGACTTTGATGGGTGCAACCCGATCGGGACGTCAAAGCGAGCCCAACTTACTCAAAGGTCAGATTTGATCGTACACGGAGTGACGTATCCCAGAAAAGGCAGAATGACGGTGAGATGGGCGAGGGTGGAGGCTTGGGAGGGCAGGGCGCATGGATAAGTCCAGAGCAATGGAGGAGAAGCAGGAGTGAGCCGGGCAGCGGAAGAGGAATTTCTTTGAGAAGAGTTTTGACTGACTCAGGTCAGTAAATTCGAGCTGAGCATGGCGCCGAATGCGACAGGGGCGAGGCGAAGGGCTGAAGGCGTGGGGCCCTCGCGAAGAGAGGTCGATGCCGCACGTCAATGCAATAAAACGGCGAACCCTAGAAGATGCGCGCGGCGACATCGCCTTCACGGCGCGCTATGGAGGGAAAGCTATTCGGATCCAGTCGTCGCAGCATTCGACGCATTGACATGCATGACTCCTCCTGACAACATGTGGCAGAATTGACGGCCGTCAGATCCAGCTGACAAGTGACAAGTGACATGGAGAAACCATGGGTGGAGTGAGAAGTGACATGGAGGCTAGGTCGCAATCAGACTAGCGTGATATCATGTCGCTAGGTTTTTTCGAGCCTGTCGCTAGGCTGGGGCGGAGTGCCTGGCTGAACGATCTGTCGTCACCATGTTCGAAAAACATCGCAACCCTTCCTCCCCCGCTCAGTTCCTTCCGCACCAGCCTCCGCTCATTTCTAGGTGCCGCCATGCTCGCTGCGTGCGCCCGCCCTCCCTCGCTGCCTCGTGGTTTCCGCCAGTGACGAGGCAAAGCAGAAAAAACCACGAGTTGGGTGTTTCCTTTTCCGCACTGGGCCCGTCTGCCTGTGAAACAGAGCCAGAGCGGTTGAGTACCTAAAATTTCTGCTTTTGTTCCAATGAAGAAACCTCTAATAAAAAATATACTATAGTTTAGTATTAATAATTTTGTACTGTGTGTATTTCTCCCAAAGGGGATATCATAACAATTGTGAAATACCTCAATATCTAGCTACGGTTGAAAAATACGCCAATTTATACCGGTAACAAAAATGGCTCCAAGAGAAACTCGAAGTTGCAAGCTGCAAGCTGCAACATACACCAGCACCACTGACCGTTGCTATTTTGACATGTACAATCCCTGCCCAGGCAAACTGAGCCCTCCGCCACCAGCCGCAGCACTGTTTGGATTCATTCCCATCGCACCCCCTCTCATGCCTCCTTGCCCCCCCATCACTGCACTTGCTCCTCCCATCCCCATCCCTCCGTGCCCCCCTCTCATCCCTGCCCCTCCTCCTGCTCCCCCTGCCATGCCAGTGTTGGGAGCGGCAGAGCCAGGTGCAGTGACTGAAGCAGAGCGGGGAGTAGTAGCAGCACCAAGCGGCACACCGGCAGTGACATTCGGAGCACCAACAGTAGGAGCAGCAGCAGCAGCAGCAGCAGTCACAGTAGAAGCAGTAGCAATACCACCAATACTACCGCTCGGAACCATCACAATGCCAGCAGCACCACCACCACCACCAGTAGCACCAGCACCAGCAGCACCCGCAGCAGCCGCTGCCGCCGCAGCTGCAGCAGCAGCGGAGCGAGTGAGCTTGGGATGAGTAGCAGCATAGACGGAGAGCGAGGGATCGATGCAGAGGTGGCGGAAGGGCACGCGCACATCCTCTCGCAGGCGCTCCACGGCCTTGGAGCACAGCTGTAGCGTCTCTGGCTTGGGCCGCCGGTTTGCCAGCGTGGGCATGCCCCCTTCCAGCAGCAGCACATGGTGCCTGGGGTGGGTTATGTCGCGTGGGGATGACAGGACACGCGAGTATTTTAGGCAGGGCACTTAGGTGGGTATTTCAGGCGGGTATTTTAGGCTGTCTTTGAAACATACTAGGGCTACCGTAAAAGTGGGGAGAGGCAGGGTGTGAGACTCACATAAAGTCGATGATATCTGTGATGGACGAGGCTGGGCCTGTCACTTGCGGTGATGAGTTCACTCCAAACACGTCTGCTATCGCTGAAAACAGCAGCGCTATCGTCTGGTGGGGACCGGCAGGGAGAGGGGCGAAGGGAGCCGGAAGGGGGTGGGAGGGAAAGGAAGGGGGGGAGTGAGAGGTGGGGCCATCACACATGCAGCATAGTAGCACATGCAGCATGGCAATAACACCGTCCCAAGGGTTACCTTGGCAAAGAGGGGATTGACGGAGATATGCCGCACGCGTGGCAGGATGAGGGTATTGAGGTGCCTACAGAATCGCCTCACCTTGGCAAAGAGAGACTTGGAGATGGGCGTGCGGGGCAGGATGGGAGCAACGAGGCGGAAGACGAGGCGCAGGTGGGCGGGGGAGCGGATGGGGCGCTGCAGCACGAGCAGTGCGTGGGTGCCCTCTATGCGATCGAATGGCAGTGCGTACATCATCGCATGCACTGCTGCCGTCCAGATGCCTGCACACGACATGACAAGCAGCGCGGGGGAGGGCATGAGGGAAACCAGGCAGCGAAGGGGAGGATTTGCCAGGCTGCATCAATCCCACAACAGCATGACCAGGAGCACGAAGATAAGAGCATACGTGTAATGGGGAGGGGGGTGTGTGAGGTGGGCGTGAAGGAAGGAAGGGGGAGGGAGGTGGAACCACACAAGATGTTGAGGTAGATCAAGGGAGAAGCTTACTGAGCTCAGTGCAGGTGGCGTTGCCAATAGCCCATGAGGGGTCCATGAGAAGCATGTCCACGAGCCGAGACCCTGCTCCCACATCATCCTCCACCTCCCCCTCATGATCCTCGCCACCATCCTCCTCCTCTCCCTCCTCCCCATCCTCTCCCTCTCCATTCACCCCTGACCCGGATAAACCACCGTCTCCTCCCACACCACCTGCAGCAGCCACAGCTGCAGCACCAGCAGCTGCAGCAGAGCCCATAGAACCAGCTCCAGAAGCAACAGCACCAGAAGCATCGCCTGGAGCAGCAGCAGCAGAGGTGGGCGGAGCAGGAGGGGCATTGGCAGCAGCGGCAGGCAGGAACTCAATGACCTTCTGAGCAACGACAGTGTAAAGGGTGGACTGGAATATAGGTGGTAGATTTGCCAGTAGCAGCCCTAGGGCTTGAGGCAGGAGCGGCCACATCTCCCGAGGTGGTAACACCGTAACCTCTTTCATATCATCCATCATTTCTGCTCCATCCACCATCATCGGATCCGTCCCCCCTGCTGCCCCATCGCCCTCGCCCACCCTCACCCCTCCTCCACCCCCCCTCCCGCCTGCATCCCCAGTTGCCGCAGCAGCCGCAGCGGCAGCAGCAGAAGCAGCAGAAGCAGCAGCTGCAGCAGCTGCAGCAGCAGCAGAAGCTTCGACCGCATTGGGATGGAGAGGAGGGAAGGCCGCAGCAGCAAGCAACGCACGGAGAATCTCCACAGGGGAGTTGCGAGGCGGGGGCAGAGGGAGAGAGAGGATTTCTAGTACTGCTGTTTCCAGCACCAGCTGGGCAAACCCCCCCGTGTCTAAGTGCTCGTAGAAAGGCGGTGATCGGAGAGTGAGAGCGGTTGGGAGCGGTGACGAGAGGGAGAAGGAGGAAGGAGAGAAGGACCCGAGCCCTGGGATTTGCACGGGTTGGAATGGAGGCGCAGGAGGAGGAGAGGAGATGGAGTGGAAATAGTCTAAAGGGGAGAGGGGCGCGAAAGGGGAGGGGGCGGAGGCGGCGGGGAGAGGGGCGGGGAGAGAGGGTATGATGTGCTGGCAGAGGGTTTCGAGGAGGCGGAGGAAGTAGGAGAGAGGAGGCAGGTCGACGGCGGAGGAGAGCGAGGGGTCCATCTGCCTGAGAAAAGCCTCTGCAAAGGGGATCTGTGAGGGTGTGATGGGTGGTGTGTGGGTCAGAGGGCGAAGGTTAGAAGAGTATTGGGGGGTTGGGATGGATAGGAAGGAGTGGAGAGGTAGACTGAGTGTGGGACACGAGAGGGTGCTGTGTTATGGCTTGCGGGAAGAACGAGGATGGTTCGGTTTTCAAGCAGAAGCAGCTGTGTAATGTGAAGACTCGAGCGGTCGAGAAAGAGAGAGATGCACATACTGCACTCGTGGCTGGCACAAGCGGGAACAACCCCAACCCACGCACGCTCACAAAGTTCCACGCACCCAACTGCAGCACGTTCCCACACACCCTGGTGAGGTCGAGGATGCTGAGCAGCTGAATGACGAGCTGGTTGGGCAGCGCGGGGTAGAAGTACGCGAGCGTGTCGCGCACAAACGCAAAGCGCGACGGGTGGTACGTGAGCAGGTGCTTGTGCGGCGAGTTGTAGAGCGCGAGCAGGCGGTCGGCCGTCTCCATGGCATCGTTCTCGATGAGGCGATGCACTATCAGCGCCACCACTGGCACCATCCGCAGCACCATGTGGTCAAAGAACACTGGCTGCCTGCACGGGGGAAGGATATGGGGGTGGGGGAGGGGGGAGCGGGGAGAAGGGAAAGGGGAACGGGGGAAGGAGAGGGAACAAAGGGATGGAGTTCTGAGGCGCCTCAGAATCCACCACCGGCACCACCTGCAGCACCATGTGGTCAAAGAACACTGGCTGCCTGCACGGGGATGGGGGAAGGGGGAGGGGGGAAACAGGGGAAGGGGCGGAGGGGGAACGGGGAAGGTCAGAGGGATGCATAGGGAAGGAGGGCACTGAATGGACGAGGTTGAGGGGCACCACCCGCAGCACCATGTGGTCAAAGAACACTGGCTGCCTGCACGGGGATGGCGGAAGGGGGAGGGGGACGGGTGGAGCGGGGGTAGGGGGAAGGGGAAGGAGAAGAGGAGAGATGGAGGGGGGACAGCGGTCGGGCGGAGCTGGGTAATAGAAGGGATTGATGGAGGACAGGAATGAAGTTACCCCACCCCGTCCCCCACTCACTTATCATTCCCCATGAGGTTGCTCCCGAGCGCTTCCAGCGGAGTGACCGTGGTGAAGGGCCCGACCTCGGTCCAGTGCTCCTGCTGCCCGCGCGCCTCACAGTACGCCGCCACGCGCTTCTGCAGCTCAGGCCGGTCCATCAGCAGACCCACCACCAGCCGCAGGCTGTTCGGGGACCCGTCGTCGCGGTCTGCGAGGGCTAGAAGGACTATGTCGGCGGGGAGGAGCTCCTTCACGAAGATCCAGTCTGCTAGCGCTGCGGAGGCCGCTAGGAGGATTTGCTTCAGCTGCGTGCGCTGCTTCACTTGCACCTGCCGGTGGGACGGGTGGGGGGCGGGGATTGATGAACCGAAGCGAGCGGAAAACGGATGGATCGAGCAAGGAAATCTGCTCTACTCTATCAGCAGGCATGGGTGTGGTAGTTTGAATCACGGGCGGTTCGGTTCGGTTCGGTTGTCACGGGCGTGACTCACCTGCACGTGGTGCAACAGCACGTCGACGAGAGCGTACACGTTGCGCGTCACGTCATGGGGCGACATGTCCCGCAGCATCAGAGCCTGGCCACGGCAGTGCACACACACACACACACACGCACGCACGCACGCACGCACGCACGCACACACGCACGCACGCACGCACGCACGCACGCACGCACGCACGCACGCACGCACGCACACACACACACACACACACACACACGTGGGTGAGTTGAGGATGCAGCCACAAGAACGGTGGGCTGATGATGAAGCAGCAGAACGGATAGGACACAACGAGCGTGTGGGAGGATGTGGCTCCAACACAAAGACATGATCAACAATAACTGTCCTTCACAGAGGGTTTTCTGCCCAGTCCAGCTTTCCAGCACTACCAAACCCCATCCTTTGCAACTCCTTTCTCCATCCTTCCCCACTTCATTCCCCTCCGCATTCTTCCCCCCCTCTCACCCTCCCGCCGCCCTACTAGGTGCTGCAGGTTGACAGAGCCCGGAGAGGCGTCGTGCAGGATCCAGGCAGCGGCGCAGAGCAGGTGGCGCAGGTGCGGGGGCAGCTGCGACAGCAGGTTGAGCGCCGCATTGGGGTCCGCCACTCGCCCCGCCTGCACTGGCAGCAGCTGCCTCTGCCGCAACAGCTGCTCCACCTGGCAATAGGGGAGGGAGAAGGGAGAGAGTGCGGGAGACAGGGGTGCGGAACGGGGGGGGGAGGGAGGGGAGGCTGTGGTGGTTGGAGGGAGCACCAGTGTCAAGCCTACACAGCAGGGAAAAAAGGGAAGACGTTTCGAAAAACAAGGATGATGTGGCATCTCACACACAAGCTCACACACCCATGCCCGCACCCTTAATGCCCGCCAGCTCCCTCCCACGTTCCATCCCTTGCTCCCACCCATGCTCCCCGCCCGCCCACACACACTCCCCTAACAACACTCGGACTGCATCTCTACAAACATAAGTAATGCGCTGGTCAGTTTGGTCAGCTCCCTCCCACGTTCCATCCCTTGCCCCCACCCCGCGCACGCGTGATGCGCACCTGCATCCACTCCTGCAGCAGCTGGGCGCGGCAGTCGGGCCTCTTGGAGAGCGTGTCTCGGAGCAGAGGGGGGAAGTAGCGCAGAGTCTTCTCACTCCAGCGGTGCGTGGAGGCTGCTAGCATCTGGTCCAGCGCGGGCATGAGCACCACGATCTGCTCAAACTCGTGGATGCCACGTGTCTTCATCGTGATGGCTAGATTCAGCACCATCACCCGGTTGAGGGTTTCTGAAAACTCAGTGGCGGCGTTCTGGGTGCATGTGCAGGGCGCCCGCCCGGGAGGAGGTGGGAGGAGGTGGGAGGAGGCAGCCATGAGTGAATAGACTACGTCTCAATTCTACTAACTGATACTACCACGACTCAGTTTCGAGATGTGTTTATGCCTTGTGGGAGAAACAGTAGTGGGAGCAGAAGCAGCAGAAGTAGCATGTCACGACACCTTGCAGTGCACTGGAGCACAGCACAGCACTGTATGGAACGGCACAACACAGCACAGCACCCTACATCTTTCCACACTACACCACAGCAAACCACATCACTTCACACCACACCACACCACACCGCACCACACCACACTGCACCGCAGCACAACACAGCACAGCACCCTACATCTTTCCACACCACACCACAGCACTACAGCACACCACATCACTCCACTCCACACCACACCACACCACACCACACCACACCACACCACACCACACCACACCACACCACACCACACCACACCACACCGCACCGCACCACACCACAACGCACCGCACCACACCACAACGCACCTTGGAGTCCTTTTTGACGAGCATGACCTCCTTGAGCGACATGATGAGGTTGATGGCGGTGTTCTCCGCCAGGCGGTACAGCCGGTGCTGCCCCGCCACCATCTTCACCTTTATCAGGATCTTCGCCAGGTCCAGTATCAGCCCCCGCATCTTGCCGTGGTACCTGGGGGGGCGGGGAGGTGGTGACGGGCGCGAGGAGGGGTGAGAGGGAGGAGGCGATAGAGGGAAGGAGGGGGAGGAGGTAGGAGGAAGGAGGGGTGGAGAGAAAGAGAGGGCGGAAGGGGGACTGGTAGTAAGGCAAAGGGTGGCATGGGATCTGCTGGCCTGGCTTGTCAAGAACAGTTTGCTTAGCATCGGGTGGAAGGGGGGGAGACGACAGGGGGGTGGGGGGGGTCTGGAAAGGAAGGGGAATTGGGAGGGAAAGGTTTTGGGGAGAAAACAGGACAACCGAACGAAAAAAAAAAAAAAAAAAAAAAAAAACAAGAGCACATAGAAAAGCATCTTGAGGAAAAGGGCATGAGCTTGCAAGGCCATCAGTGCTGTGTGCTTGGGCACACAGCGTGTGCAAGGGGTCTCTTCAGTACCCAGCCAGCAGCACACACACAGCCGCTTCACATCCACTCCCCACCAGAAGCACATCCCACCCAGCAGCAGCAGCTGCAGCAGCAACAGCAGCAGCGCAAGGCTGGAGCAAGAGCACGGTTCAGTACTCTCTCTCTGCAAGCTGGCACGGATGCCGTGGGGGGGAGCGCTGGTGGCCTGGGGAGGGCGCGAGTGGTGATGTGTCCGGGCAAGGGAATCAGATCTCCGTTCTTTTGCGCATCATATGGCCAAGCAAGGTCGGCACAGAGGTAGCGAGGGAAAAGAGAAGAGAGAGGGGGGGGGGTTGGCATCACATCACAGTCCAGTGTAATAATGTGGTTGTGTTGTGTGTTGCGCACCGGAAGAAGGGGATGAGGCGGTAGTTGATGAGTTCGAGCAGCAGCAGCGGCACGGAGTTGTTGGACTCCCCTGGAACATACTTCTCCAAGGACGCCTGCAGCCAGGTGGGCACGGCACAGAGGCAAGAGGGCAGAGCAGCAGAGGTGACTTTTGTGTCAACTCAAAAAGGACGGAGTTGTTGAACTCCCCCGGCACATACTTCTCCTAGGACGCCTGCAGCCAGGGGGGCAGGGGACGCAGGCAAGACGGCAGAGCAGCAGAGGCGCACAGATGAGGGGCACAGTGAGGCGCGTGAGAAGGGCGTGCAGGGGAGGTGGCGCAGGGTGACGTGACACAGGCAGTAAGAGGGGGGGCGCGGTGGGAGATGGAGCCTTGATGAAGGCGGATTGACACATTGGCAAAGGATGACTGAGATCCATCCATGATTCGACCCATGGAGGAGAGTGGGATTGAACTATATCCTGGGCCCGAAACAGCACACAGACGCTAGAACACAAGAGCACCATTCGGGTAAGTCAGTAGGCCTGTGCACACATCGCAGGTAAACACATCATCTCACAGCACAGGAATATCAGTGCGGTTACCAGAGGGAAGGCAGCGGTTACCAGAGGGAAGGCAGCGGTTACCAGAGGGAGGGCAGCGGTTACCAGAGGGAGGGCAGCGGTTACCAGAGGGAGGGCAGCGGTTACCAGAGGGAGGGCAGCGGTTACCAGAGGGAGGGCAGCGGTTACCAGAGGGAGGGCAGCGGTTACCAGAGGGAGGGCAGCGGTTACCAGAGGGAGGGCAGCGGTTACCAGAGGGAGGGCAGCGGTTACCAGAGGGAGGGCAGCGGTTACCAGAGGGAGGGCAGCGGTTACCAGAGGGAGGGCAGAGGTTACCAGAGGGAGGGCAGCGGTTACCAGAGGGAGGGCAGAGGTTACCAGAGGGAGGGCAGCGGTTACCAGAGGGAGGGCAGAGGGTACCTGGAGAATGTGCTGGCGGGTGTTGGTCTGCACGAAGGTGTGTGGCGGGTGGATGGTCTGCGTCTGGTTGAGCGTGTGTGGCGCCACCAGCAGCAGCCGGGCGAACGTCTCCACCATGGCAATGCTGGGGAACCCGTTCTGGGGAATGCCATGCCACGGATACCCAGGATTCGTAGCAGAGGGGGCAGATACGAGGTGCCACCGTGCAGGGAGGAAATCAGGGATTAGTGCTAGTGAGTGCTGGTCACAGTAAACCAATAACAGACATAAACATATCAAGTCATACACCCCATGATATCCCATGGCATCACACCTCATGCGCCTTGGCAATGAGTTCCTGCAGGGTGGCAGCGAGGCGCTGAGCCACCTGCAGCGACAGCCCCTGCAGCAGACTCGTGGGCAGCAGCTGCGCCTCGTTCCACATGCGCGTGCCCCCCCCTAGGTCCTTCACACCCTGCGGATCACACAGTTGCAGGGCGGGGAGGACGAGGGGGAGTGGTGGAGGGGGAGGAAGTGGGGGAGGGGAGGGAGAAGGGAGGGGGGGGCGTACGATAGCGCAGGGCGAGTACAAGAAGTGTAAGGGTGGCTGATGGAAGGGTGCAATGCAATCCCAAGGAAAAAGACACATACAAACACACACGCGTACAGTATATATCGTGCGTACGTATGTAGGTAGGTACGCACCGGGGCAGTGAGCCATTTAAAGAGCGCCTCTGTGACGGGATGGCTCATTGTGTGGCTGAGCACCCACACCATGCCCGTGCTGTGATCGTCCAGCTTGTCGTACTGCAACCGCAACTCATCTGCTCACACCTCATGGCACCGCACCTCACCGCACCGCACCACACCGCATCGGAAAGGAACACCAGAGAGTCCCAAAGGGAGGAGAAAAATGGCACTTTAAGAGAGCAAGAGATGCAGAAGTAAAACACACACACACACACACACTCATTCACTCACACACAACATCACCAACAGACAGACACAAGACAGCTAAACACACCACAGGGAACAACACACGCGCAAGCAAAACAAACCCCACAAGTCACCCAACCACCGCCAGCAAACACAGCCAGCTCCAACACACACACAGGACTCCCCCTCCCCCACCCACCCAACCCCTCCGCCTTCACCTCAGCTCACCCTTATTAACTTTGCGCCAGAACTCGTCCAGCGCCTTGCCCTGCTGCTTGTAGTCCGCCAGACGGGCCTCATCGGCGCCAAAAAAACATTCGCAGCACACACAGCACATCCCTCCCACCCACCCCTCCCCTCTCCTGCCCCCCTCTCCGCTCACCCTTATTAATCTTGCGCCAGAACTCATCAAGCACCTTGCCCTGCTGCTTGTAGTCCGCCAGGCGCGCCTCATCCAGGCTGTCCTTGATGCTCTTCTGCAGGTTCCACAGCCGCAGGATCTGCACACTGCCTATGTACTCTAGAAGCACGCCTGCCCCCGACCCCCTCTGCCCCGCCCGCTCCGTCACTTGCAGTGCCACTATCTTGCGCACTGTCGCCAGCTGGAGGTGGGGAGGGGATGGAGAGAGTTGGGGGCGTGGAGGGGGGGCCGGAGGCCAGGGGAACGAGGGGTTTGGTAGGTGTTTAACCGTTTCTCATCCCATACCATCCCATTGCATCTCACCGCATCTCATCTCACCGCACTGCATCCCATCCCATCCCACATCTCACCATGTTGGGGTCGGCACTGAGAACAGACGCCACATTGTCCAATCGGAACACCTGCGCGATCAGCCACGTGACATGGTTCGTGGGCGGTGGCGAGGACGGCGGGAAGCGCGCGGAGCAGCGGTTGACAAAGTCAACAAAGTCAACAAAGCCGTTGCGCACGACAAAATAGAAGATGTCTGCCAGCACGAGCCACTGCTGCCACAGCCCTGCTGCCGGCGCCTCGCTGTCCACTGGCACTCCCGCACTGTCCACCCACCCCACCTCCCCTGGTGACAAAGAGCGGCACAGGCAGTAGCAGGGAAGTGGAAAAAAACCAAGGAGGGAAGGGGAGGAGTGGGAGAAGAGGGGAAGGGAGAAGAGGGTAAAGGGGCGATAAATTCGGGATGGTGGCAATGACGAAAGGGAGGTGGCACACAGTCAGCGAACGAGGGAAACTCAGAGTAACGACGAGACAGCATGGTTTTTGGCATGGAGGCGAGGGTGCAACGAGGAAAAGGAGAAGACAAAGGGTTCTTTCTCACCAGGTGCGTTAGCAGCAGCTGCTGCAGCAGCAGAGGCAGCCGCAGAGAGAGTGAGAAGGTCGGAGATGTGGTCTATAAGAGCCTCGCACAGCATGCCCGAGGAGAATTGCGGCATGGCGTGTGATAGCGTGGAACTTAGAAACGGCAGCTGGCCCCCTCCCACTACTGGAAGACTCGCCGCTGCTGCTGATGCTGCCGCTGCAGCTGCAGCCGCCGCCGCTGCTGCTGCTGCAGTGGGAGAGGGACCGGCTGCGCCAGGAGTGACTGCTGCTGCTGCTGCCCCTACACCGCCCATACCACTCCCCTGAGGGCCTGACACTGCTGCTGCACCTCCCATGCTTCCGCCTGCTGCAAGACTCCCTGCGGCTGCCCCTGCTCCTCCCGCTGCTGCCCCACCTGCCCCCCCTCCGCCAGGCCCAGCAGCAGCAGCAGCCGCTGCCGCCCCTGCTGCTGCTGCAGCGGCTGCGGCTGCGGCTGCTCCTCCTTTGGCTGCTGCAGCGGCTGCGGCTGCGGAGGCGGGGTTGGGGTAGTGGAGCGGGCGGAAGCAGGGCGCGAGCAGGAGCACGCGACGCCACCAGTCAGAGTTGGGGTTGCTGCGCAGGGCCTGGCGTAAGCAGCGCACCGCACGCGCCCAGTCGCTAGAGCGCGGCACCACCTGCTCCGCTGCCTCCTGGGTGAAGGGGGATGGGGGGAAGGGGAGGGGAGAGGTGGAGAAAGGGAGACGTGAGGAGGGGAGAAGGGGACGCGAAGAGGAAGGCGGGCGGTGCAGGACAATTGGGGGACGGTGGGGTTGGGGAGGGAGGGGAGGGGAGAAAGGGGTCAAATGGAGCAGGAGAGAAAGAGAGCAGGAGAGCGGAAAGAGCAGGGAAGCGACTGGGACAAGAAGGCACAAGAGGAGCGAACTAAAACCGAGAGAGGGAAAAAGAGGAAACGCAAAACATTCAAAAGCGGGTATATCATGCCCGGTGCAACGCAGTGCAATGCAGCATGCACCCACCTGCCCGTACACCTGCTCGCCGAGAAAGGACCGGAAGGTGAAGACCGGGGGGCGAGCCGTGGAAGTAAAAGAAGGGCAGAGCAGCGGGTCATCCAGGAAGCGCAGATACCCCACCACCGACTCCCTGCGCGCCGCTACCACACACGCCAGCGCACGCGCAGGGTGAGGCGGTGAACACGAGACAAGCAGATGCAGCTGGTACGGGTCCAGGCATTGGATCAGCGTGCACACAGGCACGTAGCAGGTGGTGTCGTCTACTAGCCGCTCCAACGCCCGTACACACACCACCAACCATTCTTGCGCTGCTTTCCCTGCTCCGAACCCAGCCGATCTCGCCCTCCAGGCCCCTCCAGAGCCAGCCATCCCCTTTCGTCTCTGCCTTGCAGCCTGACAAGCCACCAGGGAGGAACCCGCACCGCCCCAACCAGCCCCAGCTGCAGCCCCACCGGTAACTGCACCTGCTGCTCCTCTCCCTCCGCCTGGCGTTCCTGCTGCTGACATGGCTCCTCCAGCGCCTGCACTCCCTCCTGTGGCTAGCACTGCTGCAGAAGCGGGCAACCTTGCAGCATGAGCAGCAGCCGCGGCAGACGCTGCAGCGGCAGAAGCAGCGTCGCTAGCAGCAGCTGCAGCGGCCCGTTCAGCCAGATCCTCTAAGAGCCACGTGAGCAGCAGCTGTAGAGACACCAGGGCCGGGAGGGCCTTGAGGTCCTGAGACTCTGCTGCTGTTTCCACCACCTTGCACACCATCCCCTTCACCCACCACGGAACACCAGACTCCACCTCCCGCACCCCCCCATCCACCCGTCTGTTTCTCCCCAATCCGCCCTTCCCCCTGTGTGTACCCCACGGGGAGAACAACGGCCCACCTCCACTTAAAGAGCTTCCCTTTCCAATTACGACATCCCGGGCTTTAAGAGTGTCTCCCTCCCGAGCGCCCACAGGCCACAGTCCCCCTCCTCCTGGCCTGGCTGGATTCACACTGCCGGGTCTTGGCGAGCTCAGCAGCATCATACTGCCTCCCGTTTCTGGCAACCCCCCCGCAGTGCTGGCACTGCGGGCGAGGGCAGTGACAGAACCCGCAGCTGCAGCAGCAGCAGAAGCAGAAGCAGCTCCAGCAGCTGACGCAGTGCCAGCTGCGCCAGGTGCTGGTGGTGAGGACAGGGCCGAGGCGGCGGAAGAGGAGGGGGCTGGAGTGACGAGGGCGTGGTGTGTCCCTGGGAGCTGTCGCAGGGAGATGGTGGGGTAGCGCGCGAGGAGCAGCGAGAAGAGCGCTGGGAGGAAGGAGGACCAGGAGAGAGCACGCGATGCTGCAAGGCTTGGGAGGACGGAGAGGAGGAAGTCAAGCTGCGAGGGGAGGGACGCAGGGCACGGGACGATGAGAGGAGTGGGGTTAGGCGAGAGAGGAGCTGAGGGTGGTGGGTGACAGGGTGTGTACGATACGAACATGGGAACGGATTCAGCAGGCTCACAAGGGACGAGCGGGGAGATGCTGTCGAGCAATGGAAGTAACAGGTTCAGTCAAACAAAAAAACCGAACAAAGGAAACACAACAAAAGAGAAGCGGGGACCTCAAGGGACGAAGGATCCGGGCGGGAGGCAGGGGCACCTGCCTGGAAGGGCTGCGTGCAGCAATTGAGGAGCAGCGTGGCGAAGAGAGGCTCCACCACTGCTGCCACGTCCTCAGGCTCCTGGTGCACGCACACACACACACACACACACACACACACACACACACACACACACGCACACACGAAATTCTTAGAAATATAATCTGAATTTCGGAAACACACTGGAGGGGACAGAGGAGCAGATCACATGTGCAACCATCAGGACAGGTCTACATGTGGGCAACAGGCACATGGCGGGATGGAGTGGAGAGAGGTAGACGCACGCAAGCGTGTTCAGCACGCTATAGTTCCACAGCACAGGGTGGTGTTGGAGGAGTCCATTCAGCACCAGTGCGCCAAGGACTGTGCACGAGAGGAACGAGAGGAGCGAGAGGAACGAGAGGAGAGAGGAGGGGAAGGTGGGCCTTACGGCGAAGGTGGCAGTGGAGAGAAGGTGGTTGAACTCCAACGGGAACTGGTCGCTCTGAGGCAGCGTGCCACGCGCCGCCGACCCGAAACCTCCCACCGGAGCTAGACCCTTGGTTCGGCGAATCTTGGCCGGTCTGTGGAAGGGGGGTCACGAGGAGGGACGGTGGACGAACAGCACAGAACAGTACAGTACAGAACAGAACAGAGCATCACCGCGTTTGTGCATGCCACGGTCATTCCAGAAAATTGAGGGCGGGTAAGGATCGTTGCGGCGGCATGGATGACAGAAGGACTGAATGCAGAATGCAGGACTGAATAGTAACGCAAGCGCGTGGGGTTCACCTGGCATGGTCGTCCGCACTCACAAACGGCTGCATGGTCTCCTTCTGTAATCAGGAAAACGGGGAAGACACGTAGATGTGGAGTTGAAAAAGGGGCAATAACTTGCTGATTAGGGGCAACTGAAGGATAGATTTATCACTTAGAAGAAATATATAAAGAACTTATGGTACTTATTGTACTACAGGGAAGTCGACCAGAGTCACTGAACCGACTTCACATACGTGTTCTCACAATCAGTACGATCAATGACCGCTCTTACCATCGTGACCGCTCTTACCATCGTGACCGCTCATACGATCGTGACCGCTCATACGATCGTGACCGCTCATACGATCGTAACCGCTCATACATCATCCGCTCAGACTTACGCCGAGATACGCCTCGAGAGTTTCCACGAGCGACACGCGGAAGTTTAAGAGCGCTGGCGATAAGCCTTCGGTCTCCATGGCCATCGCTTCGAGTCCGCGCTGTAACTCGCTTCGCTTCGTTTCGTGTCGTTTGGCTTGCACTGGTGAGTGAGCAGAGCAGCAAGGAGCAGGAAGCAAGCGGCAAGCGGCAGGCAGGAGGCGGTAACGCGCAGAACTTCTTAGCCCCGCGCTCGGTCTGTCCTATCGTAGAAGGAAGAAACGAACCGGGAACCTACGAGACGAACGAAAGGGGAATGTTGTTCCGCGAATGGCGCGATCGAAAGGGCAACAAAATTTCATGCAGATGAGAACACGCCACCAAATGGAGTACTTCGTTTTAGGGCAATCGCAAGGTTGACGCTGGATATACAACTAGAACTAGTCGATTAAATCTCAAATAATGAATACACCAATCAACAGCCGTACAAGAGACTGAAGCAGCAGCCATGACTCCCAAGAGACCACAAGCGTTTATGGCTTGATTGATGGTCCTAAGGGCGCGTTCGTTCCGTTTGATGTAGTTACCCTTTTCGCCAATCTCGTCAAGAGCGTATGACGAACATCGCGAATTTCAGGGCTTATGAAAGTTCGAACTTGAAACGTGAACATGACTCGAGTTGGCGTTGTGAACGTGCGTGAGCGCGTTCATGTGAGCGTGTGTGTTTTCGGCACGTACGACACCATGCGAAATTGACGACGCCATCGCGAAACATACAATGGCATTAATTTGACTTGGCGAGCATGTACCGGGTAACATAAAGTTCGAATTCTGGTGTTCGACCTTGCGTGTGTGATTGCATCTTTGCAGTGTTATTCCCGCAATTTTCGAACTTCGCTACAAGGAAAGTCGAATTCCATTCGACTTAGGTTCAAAAAAAATATTTGCCCCCAAAACATGAACTTTGTCCAATTTGACGGAACGAACGCGCCCTAAATACTGCCTGGTCTGGCTGTCTGTTGTCCAAACCATAGTCTCCCCAGGAATTTACGGATGCTTTCTCGAAGGTGAAGCTCCATGTCAGCTAAAACAGCGGACTCGCGAATTTCAGGCGGGAAACTTCGCAATTGCCGAGTCTGGGTAACCGTACAGTATTTCAATTTCGCTGGTCGGACAGTTCCCCAAGTCGGACCTAGGACCAACCTTGCAGCTCGCTTAACGAACTCCTTATATCGAAAATAAAGTGGACTAAAACAATGTGTAAGGAAATAGAAGTTTGCTACTTCTTACATCCAGGTTTAGACACTTAATGCAAAACTCAAATGGTATCTCACTCATTAATTCAATTATACATGTTGGCACTCTTTTTCTCTCAAATGTTCATTCATGCCTTGCTCAGTTAGTGCAATCATTGCTCACTCACTCCATTGCATCAGACGTGCATCATCTTTTAGGCTCTTACAAAATGAATTCCTTGATCGCGTTATTGTAAATCGGTGTAAGGAACGTGTGAACAGTGGTTTGGTATCTTGTTCTGCCGTGTTGTACTTTCTCTTGTGCAGTCCTTGAATGAGCATGTGTGATTTGAAGCAGCAGACTGAGGACGCGTCACAATTGAAACATCGAACCTGCGCAGGTTCGGTGTTTCGTGGGTACAGTACTTCGTTAAGTTGCGAAATAGTGGTTACTTGGCTTCGTTATCTGTCGCCAATGTACAGTTGTCCCCTCGGAGTCACGCGATCGATATGCCCTTGTCACACATCTATCGTGCAATTTCGTCCAGATCGGGCGATTTTGCCCCAAGTTTTTTCAAACATGTCCCTTGAGAATTGCGGTGGGCCCGCGATTGCAAAAATGCAGTCATGGCACACCGATGTGACGATCGATTTGGCAGGATCGGTGAACACCCCCGATCCTTCCTCGGTATTTCAATTGTGACGCGTCCTGAGCCACGTGGAATCTAGATTCCGCGCTAGTAAAATACTACAGTATCTTCTACCATTCCTTCTCGTCATCCTTCCTGCCTGCCGCACACACTCCTACGAACCTTGTTCTCCGCTGTTACCCCCTGCCTAGACTTGTAAAACAGAGTAGCTGTGACTACTGGAGGGCTGGAAACTTGGCTGGAAAGTCTTAGCAGGGCTGCTGGAATTGACTGGATGAGGTAAAACTTCACTATGTTCAAGATTAACAAGCCCACTAAAGCACAACTCTAGGCATCACAAACAAGACAGATTGAAAGTTCAAACTAGGCTGATAGACAATGTAACTTCCCTGGTAACTTGGGCACAATCTAGATTGGATGGACCTTGAGTGACTTTGAGTGCCACATGAGGTGCATGAATAAGAAAACTCTGGATATTTCTGTTATAGCTGATTCTGATGTGTAGAAACCTGTAGAAACTGCCAACACTTCGGTTTGAAGGCAGCTTTGAACTATATCGAGTCTTCGGCTGAAATCTGATTGGTGGTGGAACTTTCGAAGTACTTCCCGAAGCTCTGATTCATCGCCGACATTCCCCCTTGCTGCTGCTTGTGTGCAAAGGGCTGGGGCGGCAGAAACTCGATTCTCCAACACTCCCCCTCGCACCAGACCCGAAGCACACATACACCCATGCTGATGCTCCTTTCACATCTCCTTAGCATACACTTCATGCTGCTGCCCACGTCTCTTCCCCTCACACTCCTCATTCTCCTCAAACTGCTCCACTGCTTCATGAAGTGTCATGAGGCCTGCTCTTGCCTTGCACATGTTGAATGCATCATGTGGAAGAACCTTGGTCATGAAATCTGCTGCTTGATCGAATGAACGGCAAAAGTTGACGGCGAGAACTCCCTTCTCTAGTTGCTCACGAATGAAGTGGTACTGCACCTCGATGTGTTTTGTACGCCCATGATGAACCGGGTTCTTGGAAAGAGCTACGGCTGAAGTGTTGTCCACGTAGAGCGGAGTTGGTTGAGTTTGCGGCTTCCTCAATTCCTCCAAGAATCCACGTAACCAGATTGCCTCCCTTGCTCCTTCGGTCATTGCCATGTACTCAGCTTCGGTTGTTGAAAGTGCCACACAACTTTGCTTGCGCGATTGCCAAGAAACAGCGGCACCACACATGAGGAAGATGTAGCCGCCGGTAGACTTGCGTGTGCTCAATTCTCCCGCCCAATCTGCATCGGTAAAGCCTTGGAGGGAGCTTGCATATGGGCTGGCTTGGAAGAGAAGACCATGATTAGAAGTACCTTTGAGATACCGAAGAGCTCGCTTGGCTGCATGCATATGAATAGGTGAAGGGGCACTCATGTGTTGAGCTAGCTTAGATACCGTGAATGCTAAGTCGGGCCTTGTGCATATGGCTGCATACATGAGACACCCAACCTGACTTTGGTACAGAGCTAGGTCTTGTGGGGATACCTTAAGTGAATTCTCACCATGATGCTCACTCTCCTCAAGACACAACTCTTTAATACCTATGATATCAAGGCTTGACTCTCTCTCTTCATAGGGCTGATGTGAAGACAAAGGGACAAATTTGGAAGGAAGTGGGGTAGGTGATGGCTTGCTATCATCAAGACCAAACCTCTCAAGGACCTTTTGGATGTACCTTTGCTGGAATAGGAAGATGGACCGTGACTTACGATCTCTCACAATGTTCATACCAAGATAATGACTCGGCTCACCAAGATCGGTCATCGTGAATGCACTCGTGAGAATACCTTTCACCTTGTTGAAAAGATCAAGAGAACCTGAGACTAGGAGGAGGTCATCGACATATACCAAGAGCCAAATGTACTCCCCCTCACTCGTGTGCATGAAGTACAGAGCGTTGTCTCTCATGGACCTTGTGAAACCATGCTTGAAAAGTACCTGCTCAAGAGCATGATACCAAACCCGTGGGGACTGTTTGAGACCATAAAGGGACTTTACCAAGCGACACACTCGACCCGTACCGTCATCATAACCTTCGGGTTGTGCCATGTATACCTCTTCTTCCAAGACACCGTAGAGAAATGCGTTCTTGACATCCATTTGATGGATATGGAGACCAAGATATGCGGCTATGGCGAGGAGGACTCGTACCGTGGTGTACTTTGCTACCACGGCAAAGGTTTCGGTGAAGTCAAGACCTGGAATTTGGGAATAACCTTTTGCCACTAACCTTGCCTTGTACCTATCGAGGCTACCATCACCTTTTACCTTGATCTTGTACACCCATTTGACACCAATTACCTTCTTCCCTGGAGGTGGCTCAACAAGACGCCATGTACCTCGCTTCATGAGACTCTCAATCTCCTCTTCCTCGGCTTTCAACCAATGCTCTCTTTCGGGACTTGCCATTGCCTCACGACGACTCAAGGGCTCTCGCGGAAGGTGTGATGCTGCCATGCATATTGCCTCTACCTTCTTGTGAATGCAATTCTCACTCTCCTCACATGTGCACCTTGATGACATGTCAACCATGAAATTGAAGGGCTTTTTTACCTTGCGGACTCGTTTACCTTTACCAAACTCCTCAGTTGGCTGAGACACATTAGTGGTAGGGTTCGGTCTCACAGTGTTTGATTGCGTTGATGCGGTCATTTGCGGCTGAGACAACGGCTGCGACATCGGCTGCGACGGCGGCACGGCTGCTTGTTCTTCTCCTGGCGTGGAAATATCTTGATTATCGGTGTTGACTTGAGGATTAGGTATGGTGACTCGTGGCGGTGAAGCTGAAACGTTTGTCGGCATAGTTGGTTGTGAAGATGCTCTTGGTGGGGATCTTGAGACTAGAAGCTTGGGAATTGATGATGACGCTGCCTTGTCGAGAGGTGGTGATGGTTGGGGCTGGTTGGTGTTGTTGCTCGGTGTTGAAGATGGTGGTAACTGATGACGACCGAATCCGGGACGTGGGGGTGAAGTTGAGAAAGGTCTTGGGTGAAGAAGTGGACTGTTGGAGCTGGTGTTGGTGGTGACTCGCTGAAGTGATCCTCGTGCTATGAGCTGGCTTGACGTTGGAACAACTGATGAACGTGTGGTATGAGAACGAGGTGTTGCGGTGACGGTTGACTTGTTGCTAGGTAGAGTCGTAGATGGTGTTGATGTAGGTACTTGGGGTCTTGTAGCTGTTGATTG